GCAGGCTGACTTCCCTTTTGTAGGCATCCAAGTGCGGCATGACCAGGACCTGGGCTACATGCACCATAAGTTCGCGGTGGTGGACAGGAAGGTGCTCATCACCGGTTCCCTCAACTGGACCACGCAGGCCATCCAGAACAACAGGGAGAACGTGCTGATCATGGAGGACGCCGACTACGTGAGGCTTTTCCTGGAAGAATTTGAGCGTATTTGGGACGAGTTTAACCCTACCAAGTATACTTTTTTCCCACAGAAGAAGAGAGGTCACTGAAGCCGTGGGCTCCCCTCTGTCTTCAGAGTTGGAGAGGACAGAGGTGTCACACAGCTTTGGTACCTCTGGTTTTGAAACTAGACCAAACCTGCAAGGGATGGGACCTGACTGGGCCCCTGGAGGCACTGCAAGTTATGGTGACAGCGTCTGCATCCTGCTTGAGTGAAACCTCAACATTAGGAAAAAATCCATCCAAACTAAATTCTCATCCATTGACACACTGAAGTGAACCCAAGAGCGCTCAGTGTTAAAAAGGACGGGAATTCCTGTCACATTAGGTCAGTTGTTTTGGACAGAGCTTTGGGTTTTTCTTTCCACCATCAGCAGGTATAGCTTCTTCTAAGTGTGCTCTCAGGAAGGAACCTTGCCGAGTACCTTGGTTCAGAATGCGAGGGTTCCTCCTGCCGCACAGAAAAGCTGTGACGCCTCTTTCAGGGTCAAATATCTGACTCCCTTTCCTAGTTGAGAGCATCTCCTCCTCTCTGGCCAGCCCCATCAGTTCAGCCCCTTAGGTATCTCCTGAAATGCTCCCTCTTGTCCCTTGGGACCGGCCCAGTCCCCATCAAGCACAGCTGGACCCTGAGATTGGCTAGAGGTTGACAGTCTCGTCATCCCTACTGTGACCAGCTCCTTGGTGGCTTACTGGAAGGTCCGAGTCAGGAAGGAAAACGGGTGAGAGAGAAGAGAGGAGAGCTGGGCACGTGGGAGCAGGAGCTGCCTTCAGGCCCGCCCTGAGCGTTAGCTGCCCCTGGAGGGCAGGCAGGCCACCCTCTTACCCGGTCTCCTTGCATAACTACTCTTTAAAACAAGTACACATGAAAATGTTCATCCTCGGCAGATTCCCTTCTATTTTCATGTGGTTAAGTGTGTGGTCTGTCAGGAAGGACCGTAAGTGGGCAGAAGCTGCTTCTGTTTCCATGTTAAGCTTTTAATTTTTAACGTTCTCACACCAAAGGTGGTTTTGTTGTGTGTTTAGAAGTGGCCTTCACATTAACACCTGTGGAGCTTCGCTAATTTTCATTTTGGCTCAGTGTAATTAACTATGAGTTACATGACCATCTGGAGGAGTAAACTAGAGGAGAGACCCATTTCAGGTGTGGTACCTACAGATCTATTTTTATTCTCAGCTTAGGGTTTTCCATCCATAGGTAATAGGAGAACAGGCTTCTTACATACATTTGTGAAATGTTCCACATTATGTTCTTCAGAACGTGTATCTTTATATATAGATAGCTCAAATAACATCTGAATGGTTATTTTACCATCTTATCATATTTCTGTATGATGAGTAATATGTAATCGTATGTAACATGCTGTGTGACCTGTCCTGAGGCCTGTTTGGGGTGTACGTGGGTTTCTCGTCCCCCATCACGCTCATGTAGCCACCTGGAGAGACCTTTCAGTGTTCCACATTTTTTTGTTTATTTAAAGTTACCCTTGACTTACAGTGTTAGGCAAGTAAACTCAAAGTTAATTTTTCTTATTGAAGCTATAGAGTATAATATATGGATTAGAAATCACAAGAGGTGGTTTTACATTAAATGAGTTTTTCATCTGAGTCTGTTCTCCAGCAGAGTATCTTCTGAAAAGAAAACGGGAGACGTTGTAGACTGTCTCCTGGATGATGGTGCCAAGTTGTTTGGGCGTCCCACACATTTGAATAAATACGTTCTTATTCTGGAACGGTAGTGCTGTGTGTTTTTGCCTTCAGATCGTGGCTGCTCTTTATGAAACAAAACATTTGAGGGGAGGGTGGGCAATATACAGGTATTTAGAAACTTGGTGAACATAGGAGTCTCTCCAACAGAATAAGACCTGAAGGTTTTATCTGGGGATGTCCCGAAGTGTTTCCAAGAGACAAACGCCACTTCTAGTCCAGTTTTGAGCCTGTGCGCCTGACCTGTGAAGGTGGGCACACCTGCATGCAGCCCACTCCCGCAGCAGTGCCTGGGTCCCAGCTGTGACTCGTCCCTGTCTTCCAGAAGTGGGTGGCACGCAAGCATGTTGACATCAGTGCATCAGTAACAGCGTGCACATAAAGTTATCTAGCCAGGCTATCTGCACTGATGTTTTAAGAATTGTAAAATCATCTCATAATTTTTAATATAACTTTATTGTTTATCTTGGTGTTTTCATCATCTTAGCAGCAGTAGGAAAAGTTTCAGGTACTAGCTAATCTTTCTGAAAAGAACTTGCAATGAGAGAAAACTTCCTGAGGGCACTACTAAAATCTACCTCCGAATTGCAAGTATTTTGTATCCATTTAGATTATAGGTGTTTGCACAAAATGACTGGAGCCCCTGACCTTTGGGCTGGCCACAGTCTGCTCTGACAGGAGAGGTCATGTGGGGTAGCTGGGCCGGGACTGGGGCGTTGGAGGTGACTGGCGTGCCTGGTCTGTCAGGTGAGCCAGGAGTTCACATCAGAGGCTGTGGTAAGTTCCCAGGTTTCAAGGTACGTAAAGCAAATGAATGAAGCAGTTGATCTTTCATTGATTCAGAAGATACTTAAGGCCGAGTAAGTGGCTTTGACTGGGTGACAGTTATTTGGGGTCTAGTCCAGCAATGGGCAGTGACACTGAAGTAACCCCTAGAACGGTGGGTCTACCCTGTGTCTGACATTCCTCAGGCATGGTCTGAGCACAGAATGGAAGAAGTCTGGGAGGGGACTTGGTGTGGTGTGTCCTCTAAAGCTGCTCTCTGCCTATAAGGCTCCGTCGTGGCTCCTCCTAGAGAGACTTTAAAAGAAGTAGGAAGGCTGGGTAGTGACTTCATAAGAGGAGCCTAGGATACCCCCCACCCCACCTTCCCTCCCCACATCCAGTTCACCTCGTGGCTTCGGCTCAAGGTTGTCATTTGAACTCTGGGGCAGTGATATAGCTTAACAACTGATGTGCAAAGTGAAACTCGGGCAACCCTTGTGACTAAAAAACAAATTGTCGTGGTAGTGGTATGTGGCCTAACAGTCTGCCAACAACTGTCACATCAAGAGTGTTTGAATGAACCAACACAACTACATCATATTTTAAAGTGCTACATTGGTTCTGTTGAATTGGTTTGTAAAGTAACTGTTTAAAAATAACACTTCATTGAAATTCATATACTATAAAATTCACCCTTTAATAGTATGCAATTCAGTGGTTTTAGTATATTGAGTTGTGCAACCATCACCACTGATTCCAGAACATTTTCACCCCCCCAGAAAGAAACCCTGACCCATTAGTGGTCACTCCTACTCCCGCCAACCCCAGCCCCTGGCAACCACTAATCTGCTTCCTGTCTGTATGGATTTATCTGTTGTGAAGATTTCATATAAATGGAATCCAACAATATGTGGCATTTTTTTTGGTGTTTTTTTTTTGTTTTTTAGATTTTTTTTTATTGGGGAATTGGGGGGTTGGGAACAGTGCTGGGGAATTGGGGAAAGGGGAACAGACAAGTTGCTGTCGTTTTGTTCTTCAATCTAGTTGTGGAGGACGTTGCTTCACTGGCCCAAGTTGGCACCATCATTGCGCTCTTCTCTGGCGAGGCAGATCAGTCGCCGGCTTCTGGATGGCCGCTCACTGCGGCTGCTGGCCGCTCACGCTGGCTGCTGGCCACACACGGTAGTCCATGGCAATCCACTGCCACAGGGACTGCAGCCCATGCCGTCGCCGGCGACTCATGGCAGCCCAGCTCCAGGTTGAGCTGTTGTTCAGCATCTTAGCTGTGGAGGGCAGTGTCACTGGCTCTCATATGTGGGATCCGAACCGGGGCCCTCTGGCATCCCAAGCGAGTTCTTAACCATCGCGCCACTCGGCCGGCCCAATATGTGGCATTTTGTATCTGCCTTCTTTCACTTAGCATGTTTTTGAGGGCCATTCATGTTGTAGCATGTGTCACTATTTCACTTCTTTTTTATTCCTGAATAATATTCCATTGTGTGGATGTATTACATTTTGTTTACTGATTCATCAGTTGGCGGACATTTGGGTTTCCACCTTTTGGCTGTTACAAGTAATGATGCTATGAACATTCACATACAAGTGTGTGGGCATACGTTTTCATTTCTGTTGAGTAAATACCTAGGAGTGGTCTTAGTGGGTCATGTATGTCTGTTTAACCACTTGAGAAACTGCCCGACTGTTTTCCAAAGTGACTGCACTGTTTTACATTCCCGTCTGCACTGGATGAGGGTTCCTTTTCTCCACATCCTTACCAACAAAGTTATCTGACTTCATTATAGCCAGCCTATTGTGCGTGAGGTGGTTGGTGTCTCACTGTGGTTTTGACTTGTATTTTCCTGACGATTAATGATGTTGAGCATCTTTTCATGTACTTACTGGTCATTTATGTATCGTCTTTGGAGAAATGTCTGTTCATATCCTTTGGCCATTTTTTCATTGGGTTACCTTTCTATTGTTAAGTTCCAAGAGTTCTTTGTATATCCTGGATACAAGTCAAGTCCCGTTTCAGAAATATGATTTGTAAATATTTTCTCCCATTATTTGGGTAGTCTTTTCACTTTGTTGATGGTATTGTTTGCAGCATGTGTTATTTTGTTATAATTCAATTGATCTGTTTTTACTTTTGCTGCGGTGTCATATCTAAGAAAACATTGCCCAACCCAAGGTCACAAAGATTTGCTCCTATTTTTTTTTCTAAGAGTCTTACAGTCTTAGCTCTTATATTTAGGTCTACAAACCATTTTGAGTTAATTTTTGTGTATAGTGTGAGGTAGGGGATCCAGTTTGATTCTTTTGCCTGTAGATAGCTAGTTGTTCCAGCACCATTTGTTGAAAAATATATTCTTTCCCCACTGAATGGTCTTGGTACCCTCGTTGAAAATCAATTGATCATAAATGTAAGGGCTTATTTATGGATTCTCAGTTTTGTTCCATCGATCTATGTACCAAGCCATATGCCAGTACCACACTGACTTGATTACTGAAGTTTTGTAGTAAGTTTTGAAACCCAGTAGTATGAGTCCTCTAACTTTATCCTTTTCCAACATTGTTTTGGCTATTCTGGCTCCCCTTACATTTCCATATGAATCTTAGGATCAGCTGATCAACTTCTGCAAAAGCAGCTGGGATTTTGATAGGAATTGTGTTAATCTGTAGATAAGTTAGGGAGTATTGCTATTCTAGCATGTCTCCCAGTCCATGAACATGGGATGCCTTTCCATTTTTTTAAATCTTTAATTTTTTTAAGTTTTGTAGGTTTCAGTATACAAATCTTACACTTAAAAAATTTTTTTATATTACTGAAAATGGAATTGCTTTAATTTCAGTTTGATTGTTCATTACTAGTATATACAAATACAACTGATTTTTGTATATGAATCTTGTATGTTGCAAACTTTTTTGGGTGGATTCCTTAGGATTCCCCACATACAAGATCATGTCATCTGCAAATACAGATAGTTTTACTTCTTTCTTTTCGATATGGATGCCTTTGTTTTCTTGCCTAATTGTTCTGGGAAGAATCTCCAGCAGTGTTGAATAGATATGGTGAGAACAGACATCCTCGTCTTGTTCTTGATCTTGGTGGTGGTGGTGGTGGTGGTGGGGGACGACTTTCAGTCTTCCACCACTGAGTATGTTAGCTGTGGGCTTTCATAGGATTTTATCATGTTGAAGAAGTTCCCTTCTATTCCTAGTTTGTTCAGTGTTTTTTATTATAAAAGGGTATTGGACTTCCCATATGCCAACTGATATTTAAAATTGCACATACATAGTTTTAAAAAGTGTGTTAAAGCTATTAGAATGCCATATTAGAGCAGTGTCCAAAAACTGTGTGTATATTTGACTGATTTTTTTTTTTTGGTCAGTTCATGTCTTTTATTAAACCATATACAATTACTTGTCTTCTGGTTTGTTGAAGCAATAGGTCAGACAACATTTGCCACAATAATGTCTGTCAAAGTGGCTGGCCATAAAAATTCCGGCACCACATTCATCTGAAGGGCACTCCCGACGAAGGCGGCTGATTTTGCCATTCTCGTCCACCTTATAGTATTTCAGGACAGCCAGCTTAACCTTCTTTCTCTTATGCTTGTTCTTCTTGGGAGTGGTGTAAGACTTCTTCTTCCTTTTCTTAGCACCACCACAAAGTCTCAACACAAGATGAAGAGTGGACTCCTTTTGAATGTTGTAGTCAGACAAAGTACGTCCATCTTCCAGTTGCTTGCCAGCAAAGATCGGTCTTTGCTGATCAGGAGGAATTCCTTCCTTATCCTGGATCTTGGCCTTTACATTTTCTATTGTATCCGAGGGTTCAACCTCGAGGGTGATGGTCTTCCCGGTAAGGGTTTTCACGAAAATCTGCATCTTGGCGGCGATTCCACTGCAGATGGTGGATCGGAAAGGAAGACTTGACTGATTTTTTTAAATGGTTAGAAAATTATTGGAACATCCTTAAATGAGAATAGCATCCCGAAAATATGTATTCTTTATATGTCTGTACTCAGCTTTGTTCTTGCTAAGTTTTATAAATTCCATTAAGTTGATTTCTTTTTTTAAAGATTTTATTGGGGAACGGGACCAGCCAAGTTGTTGTTCTTCAATCCTCATTTTGGAGAGCACCAGTCGCCATCTGGCTTCCTGTTGGCAGCTTGTGGCCTCTAAGCTCAAGGTGCTGTGTTACAATCTTAGTTGCAGGTGGGCGTAGCCACCATCCCATGCGGGAGTCGAAACGGCAGCCTTGAAGAGCACACGCTCTATCCACTGAGCCATCCAGGCAGCAGCTCAGCTCAAGGTACCGAGTTCAGTCTTAGCTGCGAACAGGCAATCTTGTTGTTACACCAGCTGAGCCATTCTGCCACCTATTGGTAGCTCAGCAACAGCTCAGCTCAGCTCGGGCGCAGTGTCACTGGTCCATGTGGGAATCGAACTGGTGGCCCTGTTGCTCAAAGCTTGCGCTCTTAAGCCCACTCTTAACCAACTGAGCCACTTGGCCGGCTCCATTGAGTTGATTTCTAATTGGTAGCCTTTTTTCATCTGAAAATCTTTTTCACATATTTCATTCTAAAGGTTGTTCCAATAATAATAATTAAAAAAATCCAGTTTCTTATTTAGAGGGTCACAACAAGCATTTCAAAAAATGAAACAGAATGGAGACATGAGAGTGTATTCTAGTAAGGGAGCATTATTTTGTGAAATTCTGGGTTGTGGTTTGGGCAGGTGTGTGTGTGTGTGTGTACTGGGTCATGATATCAGATGCATTCTTTTCAAAACAAAAAGTAAAACTTAATTGTAAATAAATCTATTAATAAATGGGAAGGTGGGCCGGCCGAGTGGCACAATGGTTAAGAGCTGGCTTGGGACGCCAGAGGGCCCCGGTTCGGATCCCACATATGAGGGCCAGTGACACTGCCCTCCACAGCTAAGATGCTGAACAACAGCTCAACCTGGAGCTGGGCTGCTGAGAGTCGCCGGCGATGGCGTAGGCTGCAGCCCCTGTGGCAGTGGGTTGCCATTGGGCTACCGTGTGTAGCCAGCAACCAGCGTGAGCAGCCAGCAGCCTCCGTGAGCGGCCGTCCAGAAGCTGGCGACTGATCTGCCTCACCTGGGAAGAGCGCAATGATGGTGCCAACTTGGGCCAGTGAAGCAACGTCCTCCACAACTAGACTGAAGAACAAAAAGACAGGAACTTGTCTGTTCCCCTTCCCCCAATTCCCCAGCGCTGTTCCCATCCCCCAATACCCCAATAAAAATCTTTTTAAAAAAAATTGGAAGGTATGGGAGAGTTATAGTTCCTTCCTTTCATTACTATTTCTTAGTGTCCTTCTGGCTCCTGAAGGTTTCTATAACTGAGCCAATGTACCTTAGATTGTGGATGTAAATAGTTCTTAATATGTGTTGTGTGTAAACATGTGAGACTGAATTTTTATGTGAAATCTGATTTTAAATTGCTGACAACTAATCCAAAACTTTAAAAGCACTGTTTAAAAAAAAAAGCAGGGCCAGCCAAGTGGCTCAGTTGGTTAAGAGGTAGCTTAAGAGCGCAAGCTCTGAGCAACAGGGCCATCAGTTCGATTCCCACATGGGCCAGTGACGCTGTGCCTGAGCCGAGCTGCCAACAGGTGGCAGGATGGCTCAGCTGGTGAGAGCATGTGCTCCTAACACAAGACTGCCTGTTCGATGGTGGGCTATGCCCTCCCGCAACTAAGACTGAACTCGGCACCTTGAGCTGAGCTGCCACCCGGATGGCTCAGTACATAGAGCATGCGCTCTTAACAGCAAGGCTGCTGGTTCGACTCCCGCATGGGATGGTGGCTACGCCCACCCGCAACTAAGATTGAACACAGTACTTTGAGCTTAGAGGCCAACCAGATGGCGACTGGCACCCTCCACAACTAGGACTGAAGAACAACTTGGCTGGTACCCCTCCCCAATTACACTGTTTTCCCTCGCCCAACTCTCCAATAAAAAAAGAAAGAAAAAAACCATAATAAAATAACCAAAACTCCATTATAAATCTCTAGGCTACTGACCAGTTTCTTATTTTTGACTTAAATGCATATTTTGCATGTCTCTCCATTAAACAATACCTCATTCACAGCATGCAAAGGGTGATGCAAAAATAGTTTATTATGGTATAGTTTATGTAAAGTTAGGTAATATTTACAAAATAGAAATGATCAGCTACATCCATGGGAATCTAGCATGTCACACAAAGGAATAAATATTTTGACAAATACTTCAGCTGTAGTGAACAGTTATCAGAAACTTTGTTAAAAAAAAAAGCCTCAAATGAAACCATAGAATTCTTGAATTGTCAGAAAGAGTGCAGCATCATTGACCAGGCTCTTCTCTTCAGGAAGACCCTGGGGGCCTGACAGATGGCCCACCCTGGTCTCTGTTTCTGGGAGCTGCCTCATCTGAGGCCTCCAGTGCAGCCTGGGAGGCATGTGCTGTCACCTGTGCTCCTCAGACCTCTGCTGCTTCTGCATGTGATTTTAGTCTGGTGACCATCATCGCTTAGCGTTAGTACAGAAATTAAACACCAGTTCCAATTATACAAGTTTGTTCTTTGAACACGTATCACCTGACTGTTGAAATAATTAGCTGTGGCAGAAGTGATTGCTGTGAATTATTTCCAAATTTGTCACAACAGAAAACTATTTGCATTTTTCACTTTGTATCTCAGCTCTCCCACCAGTTTGGCATAGTGCTTTTATCTTTAGTACTGAACCGAGACATTCTCTCTGATAGAAGACTATTTTGTGAGAAAAATCACTAAGAATTAAAATTGTTGAGGAACCACTTAAGAAACTTTACACTTTATAAATATTACTTAGGAAAACCACATGAATTAATTCTTGTCCCTTAACTGCTTTGAATCCTAACAAGTCAGTAAATATGTCATTAATAATAAAGGTAAATCCTAAAATCCATTTTAATTGAAGTTTTGTGATATAAACATAATCCAATAATTTAGTGTTCTTCATAATCTATTCTTAGTTTCCTATAAAAAAACCTGAAATATGTGATACAACCAGTTGTAAAGGGGAAAAGAGCAAAGGGCAAGGGAAACGTGAAGGCAGCAGGTGGGCTCTCTGCATCTGATGACTCCACCGTGAGCTCCAACTGAATCCTGGGAAGGCCCCCCCACCGCCAACCCCCTGCAGTGCCCAATTTGAGACCGACTGTGGTATTTTACCCCTGAGACTTCAACATCCTCCTGTATTGGACCATCCAGTTCTTAAGTATTTTTGTGACAATGTTTCCTTACCTACTGGACATAGACATATATGGTAAAATAACAGCATTACAAGCTTTGTGACCTCTGTGCTGTTGCACAACACAACCTAAGAGCCGGAGAATCCAGGCACTTGGCTGGACCCTGCATGTGGCCCTGCCCAGTACACAGACCCCTTGTGCCAGACCGTGTTAAACTACGTCTCCCTCCAAGTCTTAGGTTACTATGTACAGGAGCTGGTCAAGATGTAACCACCATGTTCTTCATTCTCCTCATTTTCCTCCAGGACTTTAAGTGGCTCTACCAAGAACAAGTTTTACAGTTCTTTCAATGAAAGACAATTACGGGTACAGGGTTGTCGTTATTTTAGACACTGTAAACAGTCTTTAAAACCGTTTCCTTATAATGTTGCGTGGGGTTCAATGTTACACCCAAAGCTGTTCTCCCTACCTTAAAAGGGGATATCTGTATACAATTAAAATAAAAGTCACAAAAACCCCTATAATAATTTCTGAGTACTATTTATACTGCTTGCTCTGAATATACTGATTATTTTGAAAAAACACAGCTGCTTTTAAACAGAGAAACTGGAAGCCCCAAAGTGTGCTGTAGCTTAAGTCTTCACACAGTCCTGTATGAAAGGAACCCAAGGTGGTTTAAACAGCTAATCATTTGGGCCACACACAGGGGTGGCCTAATGTTATTACTCCTCCTCTGTGTCTTCTGTTGAAAAGACTTCAGAGAAGGTAGACCTCTGCCTTCTATAGCGAAACAGGATTACTTGAAACATTCTCAAAAGGGCAAAAGAATGAGGCTGAGTCTTTTCAGCAGAAAAAATCTGAGAAATTGACAATGTACACTTCCATATTGGGTTCATGTCAAGTCTTCCTACGAAAGAACCCAAAACAAGTGTTACTAGACCTCACTTTAAGCTGATCCTTAAATTTTCAATTGTGGAAAGTATGACCTTGCTAAAAGTGTACACGAGTAATACACAAAACTGTATGTAAGTACAACAGACTCCCATCTCCTAAGAGCAGTCTGAGGACTGGCTGGCTGTGGCCGGCTGTGAAGAAGTGTCCCAGTGTCCTGCTTACTTGGTGTTGAGAACAGTGAAGGATCTGACCTTTTGACCTGATCTCAGGCAAGGACTAACACCTGTGCTAAGAAGTTTGCTATCTAAGCTTAGACCTTTCAGGGATGGAAAAGCCGGGGAGGCGTTTGTGTACTGGTAAGCTTCTAAGTATGACATCTGTGTAAATCCCACGGGCAATTCTTCAGTATTCACTAACTGAGAAAGCAATGCTTTAGCTGAGCAGTCCAATAATTAGTCTCTCAAGAATGACAGAAGGTAGAAGAGCCTCCGATGAAAGACTGAAAACAAATGGTGTGCAAATACCTTAGTTTAAGAACCTTTAAAATAAGAAGTTTCAGCAGCGTTCTTCCCAAGTCATAGAGGCCCAGCAGAGGCTGCTGTGCGAGAGCATAGGAACTGTTCACTAATCTCAACTAGGTGGAGCAAGTATTAGGCCAACAGTTAACATTTATTTAAGAAGCAAATTCCTATTTAACATAAAACATTGCAGTAGCTCAGTTGTCCAGGGTTTTCAGGGTGTGAGATATTTCAAATGACTGATGTTTCCAGAGCAGTGCAGCTTCCAATGTACCAATTTTTTCTTCTAGCATTTAATTCCTCCTAAGTGTAATAGTATACACTTCCCTGTCCTTTGTAAAACTTTGGAAATACTTAAATTACGCCCTCCTTTTTTGGTGACAAGGGTCACTGAATCCTGTATTAGTTTTTTTTTTTTTTTTGAAATTGTGTCTATAAAGGAAAATGTTAAATTCCAAGCTTCCTTAGGACGATAAGCAAACTTTTATTTTCAGGAAAAATGTGTTGATGGGTTGCATTCTTTTCATGGACTGAAAAGAGCTTTGAATCCCTGGATAGTAACTGTCTCAGACACATTGGTGAGTGAGGGCAGAGGACCTAGTGTGTGGTTAGCCATGACAATATCACGCAGACATAGGGAAGTGGGGGTGGGAAAGCCCCACACCTTGGCAGTTAGGCAGCAGCCCCACTGTAAGCTGCACAGGCCGAAAAGTTAACAAGTGCAGGGAGAAGCAGCTTTCTCTAAGGAGAAACACACTGCCTGTCAGCTCTCCCGTGTAGGGAACACACCTGGGGGTGCCTACAGCATTTTACTGGCAGGGACCCCATCACACCCCATCATTTCTTAGCTGGAGGAAAGAAGGCACAAGGTTAGGGCTCTGCCTCCAGGCCCGCAGGGTAGGGAAGGCGCTGTGCCGCGCCACGCCCAGGGTGAGTTTCAAACCACAGCCTTGCTAAAGGTACCACTAGGCACCAGTGATAAAAAGGACTGGGTTCCATCCTCAGGCCAGGAGTCAAGTGTTCCATCTACCACTGGTGAAACAATGGTGTTATAAATACATCCCTACAAAAATGTTTCTTAGGCCATCAATTGTGTCCTGGCCTTGTGTCAGAATTCCTTTCAAGCAGACTCTGATGGTCACAGCTGTTTTTTAAAAACTGCAATCCCCTCTTCCTGTGTCTGGCCTGTGCAAGGCCCTCAATGCCTAGCTGTTGGGTCAGTGAGCAAAGGACTGGATCTGGACACTGGCATTACAGGTCCCACGTCACTAGCCGAGCTGGGGCCTTCCCTGGTCTCTACCTTTCCACGGTAGACATGTAGGGAGGGGGCCTCTGGTCTCAGTTCCTGACAAACCCACTCATTGCCACCTTGGCCTCCACCGGACAATCCAGGATGGCCATCACTTCCTCCCACAAATTCAGACTCATTTTGACACCTTATTGCACAAGCTTCAATTTCTGGTGGCAAAGTGCTCTCTGCCACCTCAGCCCACCCCCCGTCACCCCTCTGCCAGGGAGGTTTCAGACAGCCACGGTCACCTGGGTACTGGCCTTCACATCTGCTCAGGCGCTGGCATCATGCACAATGAACTTGGCCAGCAGGAAGCTTTTCCTCGCTGCACCTGTGCTGGCGGTACACTGTCACTAATGCGCGTGTGCTGGCGGTACACCGTCACTAATGAGTGTTCACAAAATGAGCAGATGAAGCCATGAATGTCTGCCACAGCTTTTTGCAGGTGCTAGGAGATTACAAATGAATAATAAACATTTACAGCAAAATAATTACAACTGTGAAGTCGGTCCATGTTAACAATTTCCTTCCTGGGAAGCGGGGATGCTCCCACGGCCTGGTGAGCGCCAGCACCTGGATGCACAATGTCCCCACTACCCTGTCCACAGCCCCCGGGACTGCTGTGAGACTCTGCGGTGAGAGACGATGTAAAAGGTCCTCTTTGTTCTGTTCTGCCCGCTTGCTCTGGCTGGAAGATGGGACTGAGCAGCAGGAAGCTCAGACCGGGTTCCGAGCCTGACAGTTGTCACTACAGGATGACACTCAGCAAGGCTGGCTCAGCGCACTCTGTGGGAGGCTGTATTCCCGGGAACCTCCAGAAGGAACCAGCACTAGGAGAACGAGTCCTGCTGTTCATGGGGTGACCAGGAGGGGCCTTTACATAATGGCTGCAGTGACAGGATTTCCCCAGTCTCTGCCTTCGACCCCCCAATACTGCGCTCAACACATTTGTTTCCCAGGATTCCTGAGGTCTAACCTCCAGGGACAAGTGAAAAAAAATGTATGCTCTTTTGACCCATTCAAAAGCACTGCGGATTTCCAACCTTCACCGTTTTAAGGCAGATGGAGCCCGACTCCATGCTCAACCCTGCTGGAAAGCTCTGGGCAGGCTGGAGGCAGGGGGCTGCCTGGAGAGGAGTCCCTAGAGGCACCAGGGGCAGTCACAAAGGATGCTGTGCTGGATGAGGCAAGGATGCCGAAGGAATGACACGACATCCTAGTGCCCAGGCAGCCTGCAGAAAGACGGGGCATGCTGAATATCATGTCACTGCCCTAGAGGACACATGTGCTGCGAGTGTTCTGATGGCATGGACGGCAGGATCCCAAATGCTCCTTCTGTTTGCTCCCACTCTGAGCACAACACAAAGGTCATGGGTACTTTGTAAAAATGCTGCCAATCTATGTGGCGGGGGTGTCTGGTAAGGAGAATTTTAAAAAGAGCTAATATTTTCTTGCTTTTAAAAACATGGAATAGTAGCAAGGGAGTGACAAGAGTGGGTTAGGGCTCTTACAGCTTGTGAACAGGGAAGGCTCATGCCAGAGGGCAGCCAAGTTTATTCCTGTGAGGAGAGAGCACCCAAGCTTGCGTCTTAAACTAAACATAGCCCCGGGACCTTCTGTCTGGCCTTCCCAGGACTCTTCCCAAATGACGCTGTTCACTAACTTAATCTAGAAACCCAGCAAGATTTCTGTTTTTACCCCCATGTATCCGTGTACCCAGAGACTATCAAATTAACTCAAGCATCAACAGAGTGAGAATGTGCTGTTGGCAATAAAGCCAACGGACCAACAGATGCAGTGAGACCAGAACGAGCCCCTCCCAACATTCCACTCTCTGGCCTCCCTCTGCTCCCCAGGCAGCAGAACCTGTTCCCACTGGCTAAGGTTGTGTCTACTCCTTGTCTTAATAGGATCAATAGTTTTCATGAGCCACCATAGAAACTCCAAGACATTTTTAAGAAGAGCTATAGAGTGTTTTGTGGCAGTTAAAAAGGTCTTACTCAAACTGTTAGAAAAGCAAAATTGTTAGTACAGGTTTACTTTAGGGTCTCTAAATGCTGCGAAAGAACTCTTCATATCTCAGATTAATTAAACTAGGGTTAAGAACACAAAATAATGGGCAGTTTTCATCTGACTCCGACATCCTCTAACTTTCTTCTTGACATAACATAGGGGTCTTCTCTTAACCTTTTCAAAAGCAACATGGTTTCTTTTCAGAGAGGTTCCAGAAATGAACCCTCTTTCGCCCTGCGTGATTCCCTGAGGGAATTCATTATTTGCAGTTACAGTCTGAAACCCCAGGTCAACAAGACAAGTAGTTACGAAATGACCGGGGTTACTGGTGGCTAAGAAAGGAGCGAGCGTAGGAAGGAATGAGAGGGGCCGGGCTTTTGTGCAAGATTTAATAAAAAACAAACAAAAATAGGAATGGCTGCTTTCAACATTCTCCAGGTTGTGAAGTTTGCCACGATGACCTGGGGTGTGGTTCCAAGATGGATTAGTGGAACAAGTATAAAACGCTGGCCTTCTCCCAAGCTCAAAGGTGGCAGATCAAGGTCAGAAACCATGCCCCTTGCCCTGCTTTCCAAGCTCCTGCCGGCAGGCTCTGAGCTGTCAGTGCAGGATCCAGGCAAAAGCACATCCCCATGGCTTGTTCTCTCCAAGTGACCCAGTGCACAGAGTTTAGCCCGGGCCTGACCCCAGGTGCACCAGCGACAGAGCTAAGCTTATCGACAGGCTGCCGGGCCTAATACTGACAGTGAGTGAGTACAGCGGGTGGCGGCTGTCAGGGGTTCCAGCACACCCAGATGGCATAGCTGGCCCTCCACGCCCCCACTGCTTGGCTTATTTTAGAATACCATGGAAAAAAAGCCTGGATAAAGACAACAGGAAGACGGAATCAACGTAGCAGGGAATGGTGTGAACATCCCATAGACGAGTCTCTCATGCATCCATACCCACAGTTAATGACAATAATGACAACAATAATAATAAAAAAATAAAGTACAGACAAAAAGCAGTGTTTGGGTTGTGCTGCCGCAAGCTGGGGAGGGTGTATGTTCAAGTTGAATGGGACACAGCTAGTCTTTCTTCAAGTCCCTGGATTCAAAGAGCTTCAAGCGTTCTTGCACTGTCAGGCCTTCCTTCAGACTCTGGAAGGACAGCAGAAGAAAACAAACAAACACACACACACAAACAAACGGTTAAGGACCAGGCCTAATGCTGGGGTGCAGTCTGCAGTCAGAGGCGAGGGGTGGGGGAGGCTCCTCAGAGATTAGTGGGGCATGCTAAGGAGAGAGCTGTCTCTTGCGAAATGGTGTTATCTGGATGAAAAAGGAAAACAACCAGAGAAACAAGACCATGTGTGTAAGAGGGTGAATTCTGAGCTTAGGGCTCTTGAGACAAGCAGCAATCAGACCGATTCAGCCAGGAAAAAAAGACCGTGCCAAGAACTAGAAAACTGCCCATCTACGTGTTCTCCAGAGTATGGACCTGTCCACGCCTGGTCCCCCTGCGATTATTACCAAGACCTTGTGCGAGGGACCGGAGTGCTCCCGGGGCCCCGCTGCAGAGTGGGGAGCCAGGACCAGCCTCCCTGCTCCTTGGATGAGCCCTGGCAGCACCTGCTGCCCTCAGACCCGCTCCTGGTCTCCCCTGGGCAGAAACCCTGCTGGGTTTACTGTTATGGGGACTTGGGAACATGTTAACATATCTGCCAAGATTTCCAGAATGTAAAACCTGACACACTGTTCTTGTGGGACCCTGGGAAAGTTCAAATCTGTGTGTCTCGAGATAAGTGAGACTTTACTAACTGGGGGACAGAGTGTTTCCTTTTCATTCTTAGGGGCTTTCCCCGAAGACTGAATTTCTGGATGAGAACAGGAATGTCACTTCAGAGCGCAACTGGGATGACTTGGATGCCAGCACCAGCTGGGATGGGCCTGGCTCCTTAGTCGCCATCTCATTTCCATGGCAAGTCTTAACATCGGACTCAGAGCCGCCAGTGTCCTCAGCTTGGCACGTGCTAGAGCTGACAAAGGTACAGGTGTCACTAAGACACACGAAACTCACGGCTGGCCCCAGGGCAGGATCCTGATGGTTACATCAATTTCAGCCCCAAATGGGAGGAGCTGGTCCTGGGGGCCAGGAGAGCCAGCCTGAAGCTTCAGAGCGGGTGTCTGTGAAAGTCTGTGGGACCAGCTTCCTCCCAGATTTAAGGGAAGCGGGGTGGGCCCTGGTGTCCCCCATAGCTTTGCCCAGAACAGCTCTGCCTGCTTTTGATGCTGTGGAGCTGTGTGTGTATAAATGAATAAGTTTTTGTTTATTTAAAATAAAGGGTTCTATTGCTAACCTTTTTGAAACTCCAGGTGGACCTCCATGTAAGCATGTGGTTAGGGTCACTTTTGAAGCCTGTCACTGAGTAGGTCAGAGGATGGGGGCCAATCCACATCCCACGCCAAACCGGAATGTCCCTTAATGCACACAATGGCCTCAAATACTCTTGGGTCTCTCCTCCCAAGTGCTTCAGGTCAGGGACTGCCGTCTGCACAGCAGTCTGTGCTGGGCACGTGTGGCCACGCTGCAGAAGGGCCCGTCCCTGAGAGCCCGGCTCACAGGCAGGCTGCGTCCCATACCACACTGCTCTGTTCTAGCTGGGGACTTTCCCTTGGGACAGCGGTGAACTGACCACCATTCCTGAGACCTGAGGGTCAGCGAGTGTCCTGCCTTTGGGTGTGCACCTTCTATGCATTGTCAGACCCGAGGGACAATCCTTATTCTCAGGGACAGGCATCCAGGGAGCAGGGTGACAGGGGCAGCCCAAGGCTACGGCAGGCCAAGGTTTGTGCTTAGTCCATGCTGCTGCCCCCTCCAGTGGTAAACAGCCCCACCCTGTGCAACCGGAGAAGGGCCTTCGGGGCAGCCACTCCCTTGAGGCTCCTTCCTCCCACAGCCCTCCAGGGGCCCCACACTCAGTACCAGAGGGGCCTCTGTGAGGATGCTGGAGGACACGTTTCCTGGTTGCAGCCCCAGAAAAGCTGCACTGTTCTTAAGCAACAAACTTGCTTTGGCTTTATGGTGCTGAGACTTACTATCCTTTTGAGTGAGGGATGATGTAGAAATGGTATCAATGAAACAGAAATCTTTATATTTTAGATATCATGTGAAAAGCACCAATGACAGGTTCAGTTTCTAGACAATTTCATTCCCGCCTTCCCGTGGTGGTGGGGGCTGTCTCCAAATACCATCAGGGAGCAAAGAGTGCTCGCTGACATCGCTTTACAGGCCCAGCCCAGCATCACAGCACGTCCTGGGGGACTCCTGTCAGGTCTCAGCCTTTCTAGTTGGGCTGGCAGGACTGTCCTGAACACCAAGGGCTTTCTTCTTACACGGGAAACATGGATATCCCTGAAAGTTTTCTCTTTCTACTTTTGCTCCCACAGACAAAACTTGTCTTGTGAAGTCTTCCTCCTGAGCTACGTCCATAAGGGGTCAGGCAGGCCTCCTGAATGCCCTGGCTTGGCCTGTGAACTGGGTCGGGGGTTCTGCAGTGGTGGGAGACTGCTTTTCATGGCCACTGGGTGTCTGTCACACCCGCGTCTTGAGGGCAAGAGGGGTCTCCCCAGAGAATGTGGAGTGCACAGAGCATCCAACATGCATGCTGACCGGGCTGGCTCTGCAGGCTGGCCTCCTGCCAGGGTCAGCTCTGTTAGGAGGGTATAGTGTCAGTAAACTCCCCAGAACAGGTTAATGAACTTGACTTGGAGTTGCGTATGTGTTTGCCGGAGCAGCATGAATTAAATCAAGTCACAATGAAACAGGAGCTTGCTATGGAGGTGTGAGCAGTGCATGCAGGCAGCACCCCCTCGAGGGCGGCAGGTGGGTGGGTGGTGAGAGGTGTTTACCTACATGACAGGGGACCTGGAAGCGGGCTGGTTTCAGTTATCCCATGAGACCTGCTCAATTACAGACTGTCAGAGGAAAGAGCAAAAAATAAGACACGCACACATCAATCCTAATGCAGCATGCTCAACACTCCCTTCCCCGCCCCCCACTTCCTGTGCAGAGGCGCACAGGGGGCAGGGCACGCATGCTGGGGCTTGCTACTAGAGGCTGGGTGCAGGGCGCCTCCTCTCTCAAAGGCAGGCAGCGTCAGTATGACACTAAGGATGTGCAAGAAACAATACAGACAGAAAAGGGCTGAGCCAGGAGGCGAGTGGGGTGTAACCCCCTCCAAGCCCTGTTTCTCGGAGGCCCAGCCTTTCAACTGCTGCTGTCAGGAGGGGGTTCCACTGTTGCTTGGAGCAGACATGAAGCTCGAAGTCACCAGAATTGGCCCCGCAGGGTGAAGTGTGTGGGGCCAGCTGGTTCTGGGACCTTGGGGACCTGCCGCTGCTGCCTGTACCGGGCCTTCACTCCTGCTTCTCTCCCCAAGGTCTGGGAGCCCCACATACCTGGGGCCAGACCCCAGGCTCACCTTGGACCTGATGTTTCTGAGTTGCCGGCTGACACAAGATCTGTCTTTCTTCAAGAAGTCAGGGTTGCTTTTAGATTTCATTATATCTGAAGGAACAAACAGACCCATCACTTTGTCTATAAAACCTTCTGTAACCAGAGTGAATGTTGAAAAATCTCCCAAGCTGACTGTCCTCGCCACACACTTACGACATTTCCTTAAATAACTTTAAGGGAACTCAAAGCCAATAACCATGAAACATACTAGATATTTTTTGGAACAGCCCAAAGTACGGAGCACCTGGAGGGCGTCTGTGTGGGGGGCACTTGTCCAGGCTCTCCCAGCTGGGGCCTGACCGTAGGCCAAGCCATGCTCTCTGCAGGGCGCCTGGACACCCCACTCGGGGCTGCACCTATCTGCTGAGCAGACCATCTGTCCCCATATTACTCATTTATCCCACCTCCTGAGAACCCAGGACTGTTGTAAAACAAGAGAAGACCAAGTCCTTCTCATAATCCTCGCTTACAGAGACAACCGCCACTAAGAGTTTGGTGGACAGTCCTTCAGACTTAGGTCATACCATCTGTCCTGTGCGTGGGGTTGTTTAAACTTAATGTATTTACTGACCTCTGTCCATGTCTAAACAAAAACTTCTGCCTGATGCCTTTTAAGAACTGCATAGTATTTCACTGTGGAGTGATGTCAGTTTCAACAATCCTGTTTGATACAAATAAAGACTGTTTAGGTGGAATTAGTCTTTTGCTTCTAAGTGCTAAGTGTCCTTGTTTGCACATTTCTATGCACTTGTTTTTTTTTCAGAAGTTAAACTGGTAGGTCACAGCATGTATGCATCCTTCCTCTCTCGCTGTCTTCTGGCTCCCCTCACGGGCAGCCAATTATCATTGCTTTACCCACAGAGTTATTCTATAGTTTGATTTTAAATTTTGCTACAGATTGCCTAACTGCCTTCCAGAAAGACTGTTACCTTATCCTCCCAACAGCAATGCAAATGATTTCTCTTCACCTATCCGTCAGTGCTGCCACTATCACTAACCCTTGTCTAGTGGAGAGAAAAAAGTTGAATTTTTGGGTATTAGTGAGGTAGCACATCATTTCCTCCTCGGCTCCTTCCCCCACAGCCTTCTGTTGATTTTACGGTAAAACCCCAGGATCAAGCCATTAGTGCAGCGGTTCTCAACCTTCCTAATGCCGCGACCCCTTAATACAGTTCTTCATCTTGTGGTGACCCCCAACCATAAAATTATTTTCGTTGCTACTCTATAACTGTAATTTTGCTACTGTTATGAATCGTAATGTAAATATCTTTTTGTTTTCCGATGGTCTTAGGCGACCCCTGTGAAAGGGTTGTTCGACCCTCAAAGGGGTCACGACCCACAGGTTGAGAACCGCTGCATTAGTGGGAGCCACTTTTACCAAACTATTGAGTTCTTAAGGAAAACAGAAAAACACAACCTGTCATTAATATGAAAATAGATGCTGATGGTGTGATTTTCCCTCAAAGCAATCAGCACAGGGCCCACCATCAGCTACCCTGGAGCACTTGCCAGCCCCTGACCAGTGCCTCTCTGGCCGTTCTCTGCGAGGGAACAGAAGTCTAAGGACAGAAACGGGATCCTGCTGCTTTGAATCGAGCCCCAGTAACGCTCTGACCAATCCCCACGAGCTCACCATATCCCGACACAGGGGTGTTCTCAGGGGACTTTTCACCCAGGGCTTCCGTGGCTGCTTTCAGCTGTTCCTTCAATCTGCTGATGTCACAGTCGGCCTTTGCCCTCACGATGCTGAGCTCTGTGTAGATGTCTTTATACTTGTCACTAGCATACTTCTTGTCCTGGGGACAGAAGGAGAGAACAAACAGTGGTTACAGCCAGGCTAGGTGGTCTGTCCCCTTGGGGCTGGGATGCTTCTGGGAGGTGACTGGGGAATGCCCTTGACAGCAGAAGAGGCAAGCTGATCCTGGACTTCCAAAGGCAGAAAGTAGACAAAGCTCTGGAGTTGTGGAGACACGTGTCCCTCGTCCCCAGCCCTTTCTGCAGACCTGCCCTGTGGTGATGTGCCCTTACCCGCAACGCCGTCTGCAGCTCATCCTTGAGAGAGCTGATCTCCTGTTTTAGGTACTGTATTTCCGACTCTTTGACTCGCAGTAAGACCTAGAATGAGAGAGCAATTAGGGATTGACATTCGGGAGCAAAGGGACTTCCAGAGTCTTGAAAGCAAAGGCTGTGAGAGTCAAGCAGAGACCTGACAGGCACACATGGATGAAGAGGCAGCCTTCCTCCCATCCTCACCAGTATGCAGCTAAAGATACCGGCCAAGAACATGTAAACACTGCTACCAGCTTCAGCATTGCACAGCGAGACAGAGAGGAGAAGAAAGGAACTGCAGTCCTTCCTGGGCCCGAGCGCCCTCCTCCTCAGCCTGGGCCAGGGCGAGCAGCTGGGACTGCGCCCACGGAGGGGCCCACAAAGCTGTCCTCTGAGACTTCTCAACTCACTCTCTCTCTCCCACATCTTTTAGTAAGAGATACTTTCATGATGAAATTTTAATTGAATGGGAAGAAATCTAAGTGCTTTCATAAAAGGACATCTTCTACATAAAAATCAATCATTTGGACTTAAGATGAACCTCCCTGATCCCGAGTAAGAATAGGGAGTTAGAAAATCTCAAGCAACCTCAGTGTCCAAGCAGTAATTAAATGTTTCATTGTAGGTGGTGGTTGTGGCGTGGCAGAGGGGAGGAGGGGAGGTGAGTGAGGATGGGGCTAAAGGTTCCTGAGGCCTCTCAAGGGATCCCCACTTCTGCCATGGGTCCCAGGTTGCCTGGCAGCTAACTTCTCTTTTGCTGTCCTGGGGTGATTTGGATCTTTCCATGTTCTTTCCCTCTTGCTATCTCCAGGTCTCATCCCTGTAATGATTCTGTAAGCTAGGGGCCACCCCTGGTTCCCACTTGGGGCTTCTGCGGTGCAGAACTGGGTGGAGAGGGGGCCTGGCTCCGAGAGTACCTCCAGCTCATAGGCATCCTTGCCCTGTGTGAGGGGTGAGCCAGCGGCCTCCCCACTGGCGTCCCCAGTCAGCAGTGTTCGTAACCGTGCGATCTCCGCGGCCAGGCGGTTGTTCAGCTCCTGGGGGACAGAACAAAAGAACAGAGATGCTCGACAGAACTGCTCAGGGGTGGCAATCATACAGTGCAAGCAGGAGAGGCTGTTTCTCCCAACACCAGGCAGACGTGGGCAGGCACAGGTGGCCACAGCCATGGCGTTGGGAGGTTCAGCGTGCACAGGTGTCACCGCCTGCGGTTTACACCCCTGGTAAAAGCCATTTACGTGGGCTTTGTATTTGGAGAATTGTGTGTGCAGGATACATAATCCTACTTACCTTTTTGTCACCATAACTAGTGTTAGCCTGTTCTATGGTTTTCCCCCTTGAGTTCCTGCAGGATTAGGCCCTCTTGCCACCCTCCCCGTTCACTTTCTGTAACTTCTTTCCAGCTGACAAATGGTTATCTTAGGCCACCGCGGTGACTAGGCAGAACCAGTCCTGCCGGAGTGCCCTCGTACAGGGAGGCTGTGGGCCCATAGAGCCTTGAGCCTGAACCAGGCCCCCCGTCTGTCTGCTCAGTGCCCCGGGGAGGACAGGCAGGTGGTCACAAGGACGGTGGACCAATCTGGTACCACAGAGAAGCTTTTACTTAACTAAACCTACCTTGAGCCTGCCCACTAGCCAGGATTTTAAATGCACCCCAATTTTCTGAGGAGCAGGCAAATTCTGAGAATACTGACAACAATTAAACGTGAGCAGTGTATATTCTTGACTGGGAGGCATTTAAACGTGGTGCTTAGCCTTGGTAATGGGAGGCCGTACTGGGTGTGATGCCCTCCCAGGCCCTGCCCAGCAATGATGAAGTAAAAGTTGAGAGGGGCCCAGGAGGAGAAAGTGAGCCATTTAGAGTCTCCTAAAGGGCTAGAGCCACAGTGACTCCAAATGTGATGAGCTGGTTCCTATAGCCGGGCGGCCACAGCCCCACTATCTGCTGTGAGTCTCTATCAACACATTGAAGGATGTAACACGTTGAGGAGGTGCCTACACATCACTTGAAGGCGAGGCCTGCTTCCCGCTCCAGCACGGGCTCACCTGATTGTGGGCGTTGAGCTCCTGGTTCTCGCGCTGGCACTGCCGCAGGGCCTGCCGCTCGGCCTCCAGCGCCTGGGCCAGGTGGGCGTTTTCCAGGCACTTCTGGGAGTACTGCTCCGACAGTACCTCCAGCTCCCGCTGCACTGACTGCAGCTCCTCCCTGGGGAGAGGGCACCACTCACTCCTGTCCCCCCACAGGACCAGGCAGCCAGAGGATTCTGTGTCCCCACTGACACTTACGGGACGACGACAGAAAGAAACTAAGGAACAGGGACCGGACCCTACGCATTCTGTTGTCTCATACAGTTTGCACACCACCGAATAGGGGAAAGCTTAAAAAGCACTTCGGGTTTACAGAAATCTATTCTGTGTCCTTCCCCGGTCCTCTTTTAAGTGGCTTAATAGTGCCACCGACAAAACTTCTCTCACGACGTCAGGAGAGAATTTGTTCCCTGGTACCAAAACACATGTCCTGATTCTGAGAGAAATCAGACTTGCACTTTTCTCAGCACTAACTTTGGAGGTGATCTGTGTGTTGTAATGCCGTACCAGGCTCTATTCACATGCAGGAAATCAGAGCCTTGTGACATTGCTGTCTATCACCGTGGACCCCAAGAAGGGCTGTTTCTCCCACTGGTGAAGCCAAGAGTGAGGGGCCTCAGGGCGAGCCGACCAGGCCCTGTGTCCTGTCACCCCATCCAGTTGAGATGAGTGTGACTGCAGTGCCCAGGACACCACCAGTCCGCCCTGGCCCTGAGTACACTGAATGGGAGCCGTGGAAGAGGCAGGGACCCCAATTCTTTTATGGTGCAAAGACCCTGGTAAAGGCCAGTTCTGCAATGGCTCCCCCAGTAGCCAATTCAAGTGGCAGTAGCTGTGCTGAGGAAAAAGTGAGTAACTGTGCTGCTGTATGCCTTCTAGTCTCTGGCCTCTGCAAACAGAATCAGTGCACATGCCTGTTAAAAATGTAGGCACTGTGGCTGCCTCTGTCACCCACAGCCGTGAAGCATCAGGCTTCAGGCTCCGGACCAGACTCCCTCCTCGTGAGTTACTGAGGCGGCAGCAGCTGATGGAGAACCAATTCCAGAGACTCCTGGAGATCAGTCCTGAAGAATGGCTAGTAGGTTATACAGTTTCTTTTGCTGCATCTTTTTCTCTAGATTTTAGTGATTAGTTTGTTTGTTTGTCTTAGTAACAGGAAGCCCACTTGGGCCACGAGAGCCGGTGGCTGCTGACCCTCAGACTGCACTCAGCCTCTGAGCTGCTCTCAGCACCCATGAGCCCCCACCACTGCCACCCTCGGGACCCACATCTGTGTGGCTCCTACAAAGGCACAGAAGAGGCACGGCACCACTTCCCCACGTGAGGCCCGAGGCTAACTCACAGATACTGCCGCCGCAGGGCCTCGATGTCCGAGTTGATGCTGCTGATCTGAGACCGCTGGCTCTTCTCCAGCTCACGCTCCATCTCCTCTCGGTGGGCATTCTTCATGGCTTCGATGGCTGCAGGCAAGGACATGGCCATGAGCACCGAGAAGCTGGGGGGCCAGAAGGACAGCAGGATGCGATGGCTACCCACTGTTCACGCTCGATCCACTGGCAGCCAGGCCGGCCTCTCCCAAAGCCAGTCTCCAAGATGGATGCAGGCCAGGAGAATTCCCAGGGAACTCTCCCCACAAAGGGATGCAGTGCATTTGTTCTTTTGATGTTAGATGAAAACCAAACTGTCAATGTTAAATTCAAGCAGGAATTTATAAAACAAAAAAGCTTTCAGGTTGGTATGTTTCCTTCTTGGGTAACTGAAGTAATAAGCCACCGTGAAGAATCATGACATAAAGGGTGGGCAGCACCAATCCAGTGGTACTGTGCTTCCCCAGGGAACAGTATCAGCTCTGTGACAACGCTGTTTTCCAGGCAGAAACTATTGAACCTTTGTGCTCTCATGTTACGGGGCACTTTGGGCAGGTCTTATGCTGACAGTTGTCTGTCAGAGGGAAATGCCACCAATGGGACTGGCTGGGCTGGGGAGCCCCTCATGTGTAGCTGGGTGTGCTGGCGGTCACTGCTGCAGTGCTAGCGCTAGGCTTGCAAGCTTGCAAAGGGCTCCTAAAACCAGCCTTTTTAATTTTCAGACAACTGACACAGAAGAATTCTCTCGAATTCTTCGAATTCTAACGAAGCTTAAATCTCAGTCAAAAGGCAGCACTAAGGCTAGTCAGTGCTCTGAGCTGTGCATTTGGCTCAGGAAGTCTGTCACCTGTCCTACCCTCTGGGGAAAGTGGCCACCATGCCCAGCTCCCACCTGAGATGGTGGCCGCGGTCTCCTCGGCCAGGAGGCGGTCTTTCTCTTCCCGCAGCTTCTCTAGTTCCCGCTGGTGTTGCCTCTGCAGGTCCTCAATCTTCTTCTGGTGTGTTTCTTCCATGGCTGCAAACCCTCGCTCACATGTGGCCTGCGAGATGCAAAAGGTGCTTTATTAGTTTCTTTGCCTGAGTTGGGTGTCCTGTTTAATAGATAAGCCAGCAGCCCTGCCTGCTCCAGCCTCCCTGGTAAAGAATACGCTCTCTGAAGGTGAGCAGAGGCAGTGGGGCACCTGACACTGATGCTACTGGGCATTTCATGCCATTAGAAAATTTAGGGAAGGGTATTTACATCTATAAATTCTGTTATTTCTGTGTTCTGAATCCTGTGGAGTTGGTACTACAGGTGGGAAGCGGCTAAAGTGGACTGAATTTAACATAGCCAATCCTGGACCCTGATGGAATTACTGCCAGGTAATTCTTTTGAAGGAGTACAAAGAGGGGCATTAATTATTGACTTTACTAACTGCACCAACACATAACAGAACTGTTCTCCAAACCTGTCTATGCCTTGTTTATATAATAAACCTGGGCTGGTTTATTACTGGACACGAGTGTAGGGAAGGACAGATACGCCCTAAGGAGGGATCAAACCACCCCACACAGCTACACTAGGAAACCTGGGCCTGGCTTATCAGAGTTGCTCTTATAGACAGGGCAGGTTAAGTGTGCTGCACAGACGCAAGAGGGTGGGATGTGCCGCTGTTTGTGCACGGAGGCACGCTTTCTGTCTAAATCCCTTGCGAGGTCTGTTTCTGAATTGGGATCAGGCCTTTCAGTGATGTTAAAGAACTGGAAAAACGTGGCTGTTACATTCCAAATCCAAGTAGCGGGGCTCCCCGTTCCCAACCCTGTACTGTTTGGTCAATCTTCTTGCACAGGGATTCAAGAAAAAATACCAAGAAACCAAACCACCATGTCCAGGTATCTCTGAGCCCCCACAATAATTGCGAGGCCTTCCTGAGGTCTTCCATTTAGCATTTTCAAACTCAAGGTCATCGTCTGGACTTCACTGCAACACATTTGCTGCACTGGGCAAACTGTCTTAACTGTTGTCCATCATTAACTGGGCATTCCTAACCCCAGAGGCCCGTCTGGAAGCTGGCGGTCTCCTTTCACAGCCCTCACACTGCAGGACAGCTGGAGCGATGCTAGTGCTGCGGGCTCCTGGCCACTGGCCCGCTCCGAGCCTCTGCCTTCCCTCCCACATGCTTTATTCACAGATGGCTCTGGGTTCACACACAGCTAGTAGGTCTTCTAAGTATTACCGTGATTGGAGAGCTTTAGAATATTTAAAGGATCAAAAATCTTCCTATAGAAACTCAGAGGTATCTTTAAAGACTGGCTGCTTCCTTGGAGAACACGTGTGTTAAAACATAATTTGTAAATAGATTTTAATTTTTAAGCCAATAATCCCTGGGATCAATGAAAGTTCCTTACTCACTACTGCATCATGAGGAAACACGTTAGCCTGTGGCTGTGGTAAAGGGGCCTAGATCCGTCTCCCCATCCCGGGCAAAAATTGGCACAAAGTAACAGCGTTCACTGGGCTCCTTCCGAGTGTTGTTTGGCTGTAATTTCTGTGTGTCTCAAGGGGGTCAATGAGAACTCACCGCTGGGGGACACTGGGCCCCAGCACCATCTGTGGCCCGTTTGTCAACACAGGTGTTTTCTCCTTTCTGATATCTTGCTAACTTGGTGGTGTGATGTCACTATTTTGGCTAGAGCCTTATCTGTGCTCAGCTGGCTGACACGGTGGCTGAAGTCACCTTGCCATGAGGGAGGCTCTGGTGGAGCAGACAGGAAGCAGCTCACTGAGGGGAGGGGGCACCTTGGCCCCAGTGAGTGAGGGGTGTGCACGCACCCAGGCACCTGCCGCAGACCTGCAGGGTGCCCTGTGGGCAGAATAGGCACGGGGAGACAGCACTGGCGCACCTGACCGCTGTGCTCACGTGTACTGACTGTCACAGGGGGCACGACTTGAGTACTTTCGGAAAATAGCCCTTGAAGCTCTCTCACTATTCATAATGGTTTTCCAAAGGTTTTGACTGACTTGGGGCTAGAACAGTGAAGAAGGGCTTGCTGACAGCTACACGAGCTTGTCTTTGGTGAACGGGCTGTCATCATACAGAGGTAAATAGTACGCTGCTAACACAGAGCACATTTCTCTTTTCTTTTAGAGCTAAAGGAATGAGCTGCTGGTAAACAAGACCACGGGCATCCTGCTGAACAGCAGTGTTAGCACAACATTTGGCAGCAGCAGAAGCACAACAGCCATTGCAGCCTGGGAGTCAGGTCAGTGCTGCATCAAGGGAGGTGTCCCCTCACCAGAGGCCCAACTGAGGACTAAGGGCTTGTGATGGGCTGGGACATTTACTGGGTGTGTCTCCAAGAGATAGCCAGAAGCTCAGGGGAAAGTCTGGGCAACCCTGTGCACACACACAATCGTCTCTGGTTATGAAGGGGTTGGACGAGAAGCCAGACTGCTTCACACAGCCCAATGCCCGTGGCCCTGGACCCAGGGCCTAATAAGGCAGAGAGTGAAACGGGGTGGGGGTTGGGGGGGACAGTGACAGGAAGAGGTTATTTTTCAAAGCTCCTGAGAAGAAATACCAGCAGCCGAAAGCTGTGCTCAGTAGAAAAGCCCTTCTTACATAGAATGCCTATGAAACAGCAGTTCCCCAGAGTTGGAAGCCCAGGAGTGGCTCCCGACACTGCCTTGCAAATATTATCTTTTGAGTACCCCAACTCTGCTCTCTTAGGACAATCAGGAGATGGCCCTCCAAGGGTGCCTCTGGCTGGTTTCTCCTTGGGCACTTCTCAAGCTTGGGTCTGTACCAGCTTGGAAGTGGGCTCTGGGAGGGGTGGGAAAAAGGGAGAGGCTGGTGGGGCTTCCCCTGCTGGCGGGACGCAGAGGCCACCAGAAGCAGTGGGAAGGCGATGGGGAGAACACACTCCCCTCTCGCCAGTGATCCTGTTCTTTGGCTGGTCCTCTTCCCGGTGGGGGCTGATGAACAGGACCCTCTCTGAGGCCACACTGCGGCCAGCGAGGAGCCGAGAGGGGAGCAGAATGTTGACTCAGTTCTGCTTATACAGTAGTTCAGAGCCAAGAGCCATTTCCCAGCTCCACCATGAGTCCGATGCACTAGACACCCCCCAACAAGCAGGAAAATGCCTGCCCCTCGACTGCTTTGCAAATAAAACAATGCGCCAAAACCTTCAGGTTCTCAAAGTCTTTCTGGTACTTCTCCCGCAGTGTGGCAGCATTGCCCTCCAGGTCCTTCTGCTCCAGCTCCTCACGCATGACATCCATCTGGGCCTCTAGCTCCTGGATACGCTCTCTCAGGCCCGTCATGGAGTCGGCCTCCCCCTTGGCCACATACACAGCATCGCTGGGCTGGCTGACTGGCCAGCTAGAGGAAGGGGGCTGCCGGGGGCTGCCTGGGGGACTGGGGGCCTGCAGGGCTTCGGGGTGCTGCCCCTGGTAGTGGCGGAGGCTCTCCTGCAGGCACTGCATGTTCTGGGAGTAGTGCTCCTGCAACGTCCTCAGCTCTTCCTCGTGGATTGTTTGCAGCTCTTTGACTTTGAGCTGGAACCTGTCCTCCAGGGTCTGCATCTGCTCCACGTGGTGCCGCTCCATGTTCTGCCTGTCCTTGACCGAGGCATCCAGCTGGCTGAGGACCCTGCTGTGCTCAGCCTGCAAGGTGTTCTCTGCTCGGTTCAGCTGCTCTACCACACATCTGATCTCCTCCTCGTACCTCCCTTGCAGGGCAAACATGTTCTCGCTGTGCTTGCTTTCTACTTCTTCCAGGTACCTCTGCTGATGGTTCAGCTGGGCTACCTTGGCCTTGAGCTCTGTGTTTTCCCTTTCGATGATGGCAATCACGTCCAGGTACTCACTCTTCTGCTTCCGGAGAAGTTCCTCGTACTGCTCCCTGAGAGCCCCAACGGCTTGCTTGTGCTCCTGGCAGGAGGCCCCCTGGCTCTGCCAGGACTCCTTGTAGCTCTGCAGCTCCTTTTCATATTCCAGCCGAATTTTGCAGGCTGCGTAACACACCTGAGCCTGAATAATTGCATCTTTAACTAATAATGAAGAATAGTGACCGAGGCCTCCCAAACAAGTGCTGTAGGAGAGATTCTGGGATACCTGAAGAAGCTTCTGACAATCTCGTACCGATTCCACAGGGGAAAGAGAAGTTAAGGCGGCAGATATCTCCCCTAAGAGGCTGGCCTTATCTTTAAGCTGTAAGGCGAGTTCTTCCTGAATAGCAACGAGGGCTCCAGAGCTCTGACTGGACAAGTGAGGGGGATCCTGGGAGCTGACTACATCTTGATGACTCAGTTTTTCTAATGGACTCGAGTCCCAGGATACCTGTACACCGTCTGCGGTGCCTGCCGGAAGCTTAACGGCTTCTGAGGCTTGCTGCATTACTCTCTCAAAGTTGGGGGTGCGGTAGGCTCCCAGGATTTCCCCCAGCATGTGCTTATGCTGCTGCAGGGCTGTCTGGGTCCCCCGGAGTGTCTCCTGGATGCTCTGCAGCCGACGGTGGAATGACTCCCTCACTGACTGCACAGCAAAGCTGAGTTCTGCCCTGACCCATGTGGCGTCTGCCAGGGCAGGGACCAGGGCCTGTGGGACGCAGTGCTGCCCACCTCCTGACGTGCTGGCTGCCTCTCTTCCCAGCGTCCCCAGGTGCTCACTCAGAGACTCAACCTGGCTCCAGAACTCGCCGTCCACCAGCACCTTCTTGGCCCACGTGTCTGCTGAGGCCCCAGGACATACTGTGGTGCTTCCAGGTTCCAGGGGCAACTCCGTTGACTGAGAAATCTCGTGGAGAACGCGCGAGATATCTGAGGTTGTGTCTTTTAAAGAGTCTGCTATTTGGTTTATCAGCGCGGCTTCCAGAGCTATTTGATCAGAAAGGAGCTTCAGCTGCCCCTGCTCGGTCAGTCCAGGCTGGTGGGGTGGCTGCTGCAAAGCTGCCTGCCCTGTCTCCAAGAAACCACCTTCCTCTAGCTGAGCCTGGACCCTGCTGTCTGCAGGGGTGGGCCAGTGATGCAGAGCCTGGATGGCACTGACCAGCGCGCTCTCCACGCTGGCCAGGGGGCCTGCTCCTACATCCGGTGCTGCTTCCTGGCCAGCCCGTGGCAGAGATCGTAGCTGTTCCTGGCAGTTTTCTAAGCAAGCCAAGGCCTGACTGTTTTTTACCTGGAAATTGCCAAGCTCCCCAATGTGATTTTCGACTATCTTCACCCTGCCCTGTCTTTCCTGATCCAGCTGGGAGGCCAGCGCTCGGACCTGGAGCAGGCTGGTGTGGAGCTGCTCGCGGAGCCGCGCCTCCGTGCTGGCCCACTGCTGGTGCAGCGTGAGCAGGGCCTCCTGGCTCTGGCCCTGCTGGCTCTCTAGCTTCACCGTCACATCTTTGAGCTTCTCCTCTGTGATGTAGAGCTTGGTCTCCAGGGAGTGTATTATGGAGAGGTAGGTGTCAGAGTCACTGGTTGCAGGGAGCGAGCTGGGGGTGGCCTCTGACGACATACTTTCCTCTGAGGGTGACCGGTCCTGACTGGTGTCGGAAGATGTGCTGCTGGTCCAGGTCTTCTCGGACCCATCGGGGTGGGTGTATTTCTGGCACTGGATCGTGGAGAACCGGATTCTTTGCCTTTTAGTGCTGGGCGCCCCCTGCTCGGGCTTTGCTGACGTTTGCAGGTGCCCCTCCCTGCCAGGCACTTCTGACTTCGGGAGCACCATGCTCTCTTCTCTCCTGGGGCTGCTGTCCTCACATTCCTCCCCAAGGGCAGCCCCTGGGTCCTCATCTTCAAGCCTCAAGTGTGGGAAGCCTGGAGGTGCGCCGGCAAGTTGGAGGTGCGGGCCCGAGAGCACAGCCCCATCCTCCTCTGCTTCTTCCGGGGAGCTCCGTGACTCCTCCACCTCCTCTGAAGACGCCTTTGCAAATTTCCTTAAGATCTCTTCCTTTGCCTGGAGCTTTATTTCTGTTTCCTCTAAGCTGCTCCCCAAGGCAACCATTTTAACCAAAGCCTCGTTGAGGTCCTGATCTTTCTTTTCTAGAACTTTCTCATGCATTTCCTTGATGTGCTTCAGCTCCTCCTCTTTCTCCTTTAGCAGCGTGTGCATGCCCTGGAGCTGGCCAGCCACCCTCCTGTACGAGTGCTCCAAGCTCTGGTAGTCCGCCTCTCTCCCCCTCAGCTTCTCCTGAAGCTTGGCCACGTCCCCATCGGACACAGCAATGCGCCCCACCAGCTCCTGAAAGCGTTGCCTGATGGTGTCCCGCTCGTCGCGGAGGCTCTGGACATGCTCCGCCAGCTTCTGGATGCTGGCCTCCTTCATCTCCAGCTGCTCCTCCAGCTGGTGCACTGCCTGGCTGCCCTCGAACTTGGCGCTCAGCTTCTCCTTCTGGAGGACCTCCATCTGCTGCTCGTGGTCCTGGAGCTGATCCTCATAGGCACTGGCCTTGTCTTCCACCTCCTTCAGGTTCTGTAGCAACACCTGCTTCTCTTTCTCACAGCTCTCAAGCAGCAGCTCGTAGTTCCTCTGCAGCTTCTCCTCCATCAGCCTCTGGGCCTGCTCGGAGGCACTGAGCTGCTGGCTGAGGTCCGCGATGCGCTCCTGCAGCCTCTGCACCTCCTTCTGCCGGTCCCTCTGCAGTGCCTGCTGCATCTCCAGGTCCCGCAGCTCCTGCGTCTTCTCTAGCAGTAGGGCTTCCGCGCTCTTCAGCTTCTGCTCACTGGCCTGCAGCTGCCCGCTCAGCGTGGCCTCGCTGTGCTGCCACTCCTCCAGCTGCTCACGGACCTTGTCCTTCTCCATCTTCAGGTCACCCTTGAGCTTGGCCAGTGCCTGTTCCTTGATAGTGAGCTCAGCGGCAGCGGTGCTGAGCCTCGCCTGGAGGCTGTGGATCTCGGCCTCATGGTGCCGGACTACATCTTTGGCTTCCCCGTAGCTGCGCTTCAGGGCCTGGGTCTGTTGTGTGGTCAGCCCCTGGCGCCGGCACTGGGCCTCCAGCTTCCTTTGCAGATCTTGGTTGACTCTGTGGAGCCTCTGCCAGGCACCGGATGGGGCGGTGGCCACTTCAGTCTTAAAAAAACCGATTAAACACTGGTTAGTAACACTCGGACTTCCCAGTTCTGAGTGTCACACCTCTGGCCAGGGTCAACCACAGAAAAGCTCCTTGGTGGGTTTGCCTTTTATCCTTTGCACAATTATTTTTTTCATTAAAAAAAAAAATCCAACATATGATCTTAATTTTTTTGGTAAGTACTGCTTCCAGGCAAATAGAAAACGTAGACAATAACATCAAAACAGCTCTAACTGAATAGCTTCTAGGAGAAATAAACCAAACGAAATTGAATAATGGAACACACAGGTAAGCAAAACGAAGACTGGAGGACAAGAGATGGGCAGAAAGGACAGCGGGGAGCAGAGCACAGGCATCTGATTGTTTGTTTTGCAAAACAAAAGGTACACAGCTCTAGACAATAAACCCTAAAGAAGCACAGGATGAAGAGTGCAGGTGATGATGTCACTTCCTTCTAGGATAGGGAGAGAAGGAAGGGAGGCAACTGCTCAGGATATCAGCAAGGTGACATCCAAACATTTTCCTTTGGAAAGTGGAGCCCGTCCTCTACAGAAACAGGAAGAACTAATCTCTACCTGCAAGAAGACAAAATGGGGGAGGGGTGGGGGACACACGGAAACCATGGAGTAAAATATGATAATCAACAAAACAAACAAACTTTCATGGAATTCAAAATAAGAAAGTAAAGCATGCAAAAAACAAAAAAACCCCAAAACACATATGAAACAAAACTCCCCAAATGGAAAGGCATGCAGAAGAGACAGAACTAATAAAGTAGGGAAAAAAACAAGAACATGAACAAGAGAACAGCCCAGCCTAAGAATCTGGCCTGCCTGTGGCCCCCTTAGTCTGCTGGTGGGGAAGCCACAGATGTGACACTCAGTTATGTTGTTATTAAGTTATACTCCACAGCGACATCCAAACCATGCAAGCTCCTCCTCCCAGCAGTTAGCGGAGCGCCCACCCAGGTGGCCACCTCCTTCTCACCCTTAATCCCAACGGCCCTTGCTCACTCTTGATTATAAGCAAACCCAAAGCACAAAGGGAGGTTAAAAGCAACCTGGTATTAGACCTAGCTGGAAGGCGTTCAGAGGCCGGCCCTCCCAGTGCTGACTGACAGGCTTAGGTGCAGACTCATGCATCATCCAAGTTAGACACCGGTAGGTTCTCAGGTTAGCAATGTGCAAAATCTGCTACGAGTGTCTCTACCACCTGATGTGAGATGAATTCATGTAGGATGTGGCCCCAACCCAGATTTAAGAAGATGCTCCCCAAGCCTGGAAGGTCTGTACAAATGAGCCAGAAAGCCTAGAGTGAGGCTTGTAGGAAAGTGGGAAGACAACCATCACCAGCTCCTGGAGCCTGAGTCTGAACTGGGCAGGGCAGTAACTAGGACTGGAGGGGCTGAAGATGAGGGTGCAGGGCCTGTGGGGGTGCCGATGGCCACAGTCAAAGCTGGGGGAAAAGAGAAATGGGAGAAAGAAAGAGAAGGCAGAGGGAGCATGCAACAAAAACAGTATGGAGGGTACGAAGAGAGGCAGGAAGGCAGACTGCCCAGAGAGTTCACATGCTACCCTGGGTGGCTCAGACCGAGGCGGCCAAGGTGTGGTGGTCTGAGAAATGTTGACACAGCAACTCTTCACAGAGACTCAGGGTCAGTGAGAGTTGGAAGGGCCCTTGGGGACGGGGTCTAAGTCTACACAGGCAAGGAGGCTGGCGCTGTGGGGAGGGGCACCGGCTCTGCTGATCAGTGGCAGGGCTTGCACTTGAACCTGGGATCCTGACTCGAATGCCAGGTCCTCAGCCTTGGCAGGGAGCTCCGTTCCATCACCCCATTTTGCTTTTCCCCAGTATTCATTCGTCAGCTCCATGGGGCAGGAGTGTGTTGTTGTGTACTCTAGAACTAGAGTGGGGCCCGGGAAGCTGCAGGATAGCCACTCCCCGTCCAGCTGACCTACTGCCTGGCCAGATGCTCTGAGCAGTGCCCACCGCTCTGTGGATGTGCTTGCCGGCCAGGACTCTGGCACAGAGACCTCTGGCAGTGGCTCTCAGCTTAGGACCAGGCTGCAGCCCTCCTCATTTTGCCTTCTAGGGCTGGCTGGCTGGGCTGACTCAGGGCTGGGTGGCCATGTTTTCCCCCTGAAACTTCAGTCTAGGTAGAAAGAAAGAAGCGGGTCCACTAGGCTAGTGGTAATAGCCCAGGTCTGCTCTATAGGTGTGGCACAGACAGACAGGGGCAGGGGATCCAGTGCCAGCTCTGCCAAGAACTTGGTTGTAAGGGAGCACCTGGCTGGCTATGTTACAATGTGTAAAACAGGCCTAATACTGCTTTTGTGAAAACAATGAGAAATGGCATGCAAATATATGGTATTTATAATACATATACTTATATATTGGGTGACTTTGAGAGCCAAAAGGATAGACCACCAAAATTATTTTATTAAGAAACAAAGAGAAAAACCCTTAGATGTAAAAATCTCAGGCAGATTGCCAAGAAGGTAACACTAGGAGGAAAAATACATATGGCCCATTGCACTGAGAGCTGGGGAGCCCAGAGGCACAGCGTGTGGCAGAGGCTGGCCCTGCTCACAGGCTTTGCACATTCCTAGATAGTCTGGGCCCTTCACACTGAAGCCCCTGAGTGCACCTCGAGGGCCGAGGCATGCTCTCAGCCCTACCTGCAGCACGTAGCCCTCCCGGGCACTCTGCTCCCGGCCCAGAGCCACCCTCAGCTGGTCCTGCAGGAGCCGGTTCTGCTCCAGAAGGTCCGAGGCCTCCTTCTGGCTCTGCTCCAACTGTGGGCAAAAAGACATCCATTTCTAAGCAAAATGATGGGAACATGCAGAAGCAGCAGCACAGCAGAGGCCCATGGTGGCATTTCCGATGCTAGCTGGGCTGAGTACACGTGCCCACAGGTCAGGGATGAGCTGATCTCCTCTTACCTGTAGCATGTGGGACTAAAGGCTCCAGCTCAAGCCGTCAGTACAGGGCACACTTGTTACCCTTGATGCCCATGGAATTCGCACGCCTGCGTAAGCTTCCCATGTATCCCCCCGGAAGTGAGGCTTTGTGCCTTTTGGTTTCTCAGGATGGTCAGACAAGCCAGTGCTGCTCTGCGCAGGCCTACACCAGCCCTGCCTCGGCTGCCACTGCGACAACTCCACTTTTATACAAGGGGTTCCACAGAAAACTGTTTGCAAAAAGGGCTCCACAACATTTGAAAAGCAAGCAAGCTACTTCACACTCTTCTTGCTTTCAATTTGGTTATTTATCCACCCACTTCTTCCTGGAACATTCCCTACGTGCCTACTGGATGCTGGGCCATGGGGTCCACCCCGCCTGCATGCCCTGCCCGAAGGCTGCCCCACCCCAAGGCTGCGAAGCTGGGAGCTGGAGTGCAGAGGACAGGCGGGGCGCTGGCAGGCTGTGCTATGAGAGGTGTGGGGATCCTTGACTTTCAGACATTGGTGTTTAAAACAAATTGATGGTTCACCATGTGACCTGCTGGCCCATTTTGGCAGTTTAGAGCAATGTGAGTTTAAACTGTTATTTTATTGTATCTTGCCTTTATTATCTTATTAACAGACATAAAAAATGGAAAAAAAATCAATGTGTTCATGCTGGTGATAAATGTCAGCTTCATGAATTTAATAAAGTAGGAAAAAGATGAGACGTGAGGGCAGACAAGCGACAAACCTTAACTCTAATTAGCTACTTACTTCAAGAACACATTTGAAACATGAAACTAATGCTGTGCCTCCTTGGCCACTGAACTCCCTGTTCAGACTTCTAAATCCACTGTTGAAGCTCCCAAGATCTGGTTTCTCGATACATTTTCACGAGGGAGCATATTATGCTAGAAGCCGGGCTGGCTTACTCATCTCTGCATCTGGATGCCGAGGAGTGCACTCTGGAAAAAGGCTCCACGCTCAGCCTGTGCTGAATGAGAGGAATCCTAGGGCATCCTTCACCTGTTCACCCACTAAAGGCCTGTTTTACATCTGGGTATCTAGAATCTGCCTGCCCAGCACCCCCTCTCAGGTCTCATCGACAGTCACCAGGCAGCTGTGAAAGCATTGGGACTCGCCTCTGCCTCCAGCTTTGGCCTGTTCCACCTAGAGCTGCCTTGTACAGATCGAAGCCTAACTCTGCTCACGTCCCTCTCCCATCTATAATCTCTAAGTTCATGCTGGAAACGGTAAACAAGGCCCCCACCTGGGCCTCTTCTCTGGCCACCCTAGCTCTACTGACAGTCCCCTGCCACTTGGCAAACTCCTCTGTCCTTCTGGAAAGGCCTGGCGCCCCCTTCCTGCCACCCTGCATAAGCTGGCACTCCCTCATCTTTCAGAGCCTGCACTGCAATCTAGGCACCTGTCTGTCCACGTGTGTACTTCCCTGAGGAGTCTGCAAGTCACTGAGGGGAGAAGAGGAGCCTCATCTCCCTCAGTGTTATGCAGCTGAACCACTCAGGCCATCGCTGGGCACAGAGGGTGCTCAGAAAAGGCTGCCGCATGGAACCCGCCCATCCGTCTGCCTGTGACCGCCCCAGCCATTACCTCCTTCTCCAGTAGAGAGGTCAGCTCATGAGTGGAGAGCCGGTCGCTTCCATCCTCAGAGGACAGGTGCAGGGGAGCAATGGGCACCTGCTTTTCTTCCCGGAGAGGGGTGGTCTCCACCTGATGCCACCGCTGCTCGATTTCCACGTGGACATTCTGTGTCTTAAGGTCGGGAGTCATGGGCACCCCTGGGCTCCGGTCAACCTCCATCCGCAAGGCCGCATCCTCAGTGCCTGGCCCATCCACAGCATCGAGCACCCCAAAGCGCTTGCGGCGTTCTTCCCGCCTGCGCGCCCGCTCACGCTCCAGCTCCCCTGGCTCCCCCTCAGGGCGAGCGTTGGGCGGCCCTGTGGTGCTGGCCCTCTCCTGAGCCAGGGCCTGCTGCAGGGGGCGGAACTCAGCCCAGTCAAAGGTCTTAGAGCGCCCCTCCCGCCTCCTCTCCCTAGCCCGGCTCCTCTTCTGTTCGGAGTCCGGCTCCCCAGGCTCCAACTCTTGCTTCTCACTTGGCCTCATGCAGGTCTCGAAGGAGCTGCTCCGGTTCTTCTCTTCTGGCAGTGAGCTGGGGCAGGGGGCAAACAGCTTGTCAGGCGTGGCTCCTGGTGACAAGCACTCACTCCCACAGAGGGCCCCAGCTCCGCTGCTTTCCCACACTCTTTCCTACCTCTGCTGCAGCTCCCTTAGGGCATGGGAAGAAAGGACATTCTGCTGTCACTTCCTTGGAGAACCCAAACCGTGTTTAGAGTGGGGATGGGAGAGAAAGAGCCACAGGTGGCCTAGCAGTTTCCAGCAGGACGATACTAGGAGAGTCCTCTTACTGAAGAGATGCTATAGGAAAGTGTCACAATGTCCCTATCACCAGGATGATGAAGCACAGGGAGCCCCACCCTGCTTAGAGCCAAGGCCAATGGCCTGTCAAGCTGCACTGGGCAAGGCAACTATCTAAACCCTTCATGAAGGAGGCCAACCCTGAGGCATGAATGTACTGGGCAGTGGTGACAGGATAAATGAGGCCACTGTGTCCTTGAAGGGATCAAAGGTTTTTTAATAAGCAGGGAAGCAACAAGGTCTGTGTTTGAAGAAAACCACCCTGGTGGCTGGTATGATAAATGAATCAGAGTGACACCCAGACCACCTGTGGACAACTGAGATGCATGGCCCAGATGGCACCCACGTGCCCACCAGCAGCCCACTTGACAGGTGGTGAGCAAGACACTCGAGGGCACTTCTGCCAGCCCAGCAGTGAGTACATGCCTTTTCCCAATTTGCCCCAAAGCAGACTCCTGAAGAAGGCCCAACCTGGGCAGGGGCAGGGCACCAGTCATGGTGGTGTGAGCAGGGGTCTCTAGGCTCTCTGGATAAGCCTGAGACCTGCAGCCTAAGCAGTGACCTCTGGTCCCACCCAAGCACAATGACCTCAGCAGAGAGGAGGAAGCCAACTGGGTTTGCGAAGGCCCGCAGGGGGCTCCAGGTAGCACCTGCGTTTAAATGGGGGCCAAAGAGAAATGGACCAGAGAAAGAGACACCCAAGGAAACTGGAACGGGTTTGCCATCAAGCCCCTGGTGCCACCTGTCCGGGTAGCTAACTAGTAAAAAACAGTGCTTCAGATGGTAGGACCTGCAGTTTCCAGTTTAAGACCACGTACACATTTGAATAAAAACTCTCCAGAATGGACCTTGTGATGCCACTGAACTGAGAGCTGGGTTAGGCTTACAGCCACAGAGGGCAACAGGACAACATGGAAAGCGGGGATCAGCAGTCACACCAGAACCCACTAGTCCTCCTGGGGCCCCCGCAGCCTCTCGGCAGGAAGCCCTTATAACTCCCCACCAGACTCAAGGGGCCCAAAGAGCCTTGCCTGACCCAGGCACCTCTGATGTTTGCCTCTGTTTCTAATATGTTCTTGGGACAGCCTCATAGCACTAAAAAAATCTATATTTCCCTCAAACTATCAAAGCCCACATCAAATGAGCACAAAGGCTGAAAACGAATTGGGGAAACAAATCACTCCACTAATTCTGAAGTAAATTCTAATGAAAAAGACAACTGTCATGTCAACCTCCCTACAGAAACAAAATGCCTGGTCCCTGGGAGCCCACGCGCGAGTGCAAAAGGGAAGCATGCACACCAGCCTGGGAGGGGCCACTCCTGAGCCACATGGGCACACAAGTGTGCCCAAGTGTGTCCTTGGCATCTGTTCTGAGGCCACACACCTGCCCTGGGACACCCCAAAGCTGACTTCCCCGAGCTGAATCCTCAATGCGATGCTCATGGCCAGGTCCAAGTTGAACGGCCAGGGCTGGCTGGGACACGGAGGGCAGGTCAGGGCCAGTGGCCAGGAGATGCCCGGCGGCTACTTGGCCCTTGCATGTGCACTGCCCGTGCCACCCCGCCTCCCAGAGGCCATGCAGCAGCCTCGGCAGAGAGGCCCAAAGTGCCTTCCCTGTTTGCTATGGGGCATCCTGAAGTGCTCAGAAAGTGCTGGGCTTGTAAGGCTTTGGCCTCTGCTCCTGAATGGGGGAGAGGTAGGGAGCAGCTGCTGAGGCTGCCATGGGACACAGCCCCATGGGGATGGGAGTACCTCCTGCGTCTCTGCACACAGGAGGCTCCCCACTAACAAACAAGTCATCTCTCCTAACAGGACACCCAAGAGTGTGTCCCGGTCACCACCTCCTGGTCTTACCAATTCACAAACAACCAGCTGTTCGTTTAATAAATGAATGAACAAATGATGCTAATAAACACAGGGAAGAACTAAAGAAACATTCTTTTGGGTTCCTTTCCTTCCCGCTCAAAGAGATGCAGCGTCACTAGGAAGGAGATGAGGACTTGACAAAGATCTGGTGTAACCACAGCTGCCCAGGCCGCTCAGGCGCACATGGTGGGCACCAGGTTTGACCCACACGTGACCTCCAGTGCCAGAAAATTACTCGAGGAGTCAAACCACATGTCCTGAAGGGTCCTCAGTGAGCCTCTTGGAACAGGCAAAGGCTCTGAAGCCCTGAGGTGATGGCAGCAGAGCTCTGGGCATCACAGAACCAGCTCTGCACACTGGAACTGTGTCCTCTCTTGTAAAAAGAAAATCAGCAGGTGTCTAACCTTCAGGGCTGGAGGAGGACAGCATGCAGTGAATCATGGATACATGAACCCAAGTGTTAACATGGGGGAAATAGTGTTTCAACTCAGGCTCCAGCACCAAGAGTTTCAGGGGTTTTCCTGTTTGCAGAACTCCAACAGCTGTAGGAGTGAGTCGAAATGAAATGCTCTGGTGGCCTATGAAGGGGCCTCCAGGGCTGCTCCCACCCAGCCAAGCATAGCCACCAGCGAGGCCCAGGGCCCCTGCCCACGTCAGATGGAGCGTCTTCCACTAAGTTCAGTTCTGACAGTAGCTCCCCCAAGCAGGCTTAATGGAGGAAAGGTAACCTGAGGCAGAAACCCAGGAAGTCAAAAGGAGAATGAACAGGGGTGAGCCAGTGGTGGGGAAAAGGAGGGTAGGAAGGCTGTGCTGGGTGAGGCGCAGAGCTCAGGTCCCAGAAGGCCTGACCCATAAAGGATAAGGTGGTGGCCACTGGGGAAGGCGGCTCCCTCGGGCACCCCACTGCTTTACCTCGTCACATCTGGGGCAGAGGTTGGGTGGACATGCTTCATGATGGTCTGGATCCAATTCCGCCGGATTCCAGATGTCATGGCAGAGAGGGTGAACTCGCCCTCCTTTGTCTACAAAAAAGACAAGGCGTTATCAGTGACCACTGTCCCCTCCCCATCCCCATCCCCAAAGGAAGTCCTGCATGGAGGACTCTGGCCACTTCAGGACAGGAGCACAGTACGCCGCTCCCCCCCCCCCCCCCATGGGACAAACAAGACCTGGAGAGCCAAAGAAAGAGCAAAGCTGTGGGCCCGGATTTGCTTTCATGGCAGCGGCTGCCTTGGTGTGTCCCTGTCGGATCCAGCAGGCATACTGAGTATCCACAATGGTGACTCACCCTGCTCGGTAAAAAACTCACAGGCTGGGGGAAGGAGATAATGGAACACGTGGGCAGCAGTGGGGAAGGAAATGCCCACAGCACAGCGGGGCTGAGCTGGGCTCTGTTGGGTGAGGAGGGCTGGCAGGCGAATGGAGAAGGGGTGCATGTCCCTGGCGGGGGGCACAGTGTGAGCCCAGGTGCAGTGCCATGTTACGCTCATCAGGAGCAGAGGGAGAGGACAGTGGAAGGCACAAGGCTAGACGGGAGGGCTGAGAAGAGGCAGGGAGGCCTGCTGGGTGGCCACGGCAGTCGTCCAGGTGACTAGAATTAAGGCAGTGGGGGAGGTGACAGAGAAGATGGAGGGGAGCACCTCAGACAATCCCTAGAGCCCCTGACTTGGAAGAGCTAGTGGGGTATCAGAGGGGCACGTTTGCAGTGGGGGGCAGTGTACACACACAAGGGGAGGGGAGCCAGATGGAGGAGCTGAGGAGGTAGGATGGCCAGTGAGGGTGAGGAGTAAAGACTGGCCTCTGGGTCATGGTCCCTGCATCCCCACAGGGCCCTGCTCAGCACCACCTGAGAAGGGGAGGGGCGGGAAACGTGGGGTCCATTTCCCTCCTTCTGCACCTATAGGCTCCCATCTCACAGAAGTGAGGATGTCAGTCCTGTGCTTTAAGCTGCTCAGGCTACTCAGAAACAAACCCATGAGACACACCAGCAAGTCAGCTGATGGGAAGATGACAGTACCAAGATGGTTTGGGGATGGGTACTGGTGTGGTCAGGGCCCAAAACACAAGAGACCACGTGCTGGAGTAGAGTACTGCGAAGCACAGCTTAGACTTGACCTCAACCTCCACCAAGGGCTGCCACCAGCATTCCCCACAGAGACAGCCCACAGCCCATGGCTCATCCCTCCTTTGGTTTTCCCTTGCTGTACACCGAGGGTGGGGGCACAGCCTCTGAGCTCTATGGAAGTGCTGGCCCCTCATGCCTCCAAGACGCGCTTACACTCATGCCAGGGACCTCAGCCTTCCCCCACTCCCAGGTTGGGTGTTTCTTCAGCTGACCTCGGCAATCTCCACATTCTCTCCCATGACTTCATCTCTCACTTCCAGCAGGCTTTCCCAGCTGTAGATCCATACTCGTGGCTGCCTAACCATCTTAGCACACCATAGCCCCAAACACACTATCAGCCAGAATTCCAGAGGCTCGACTCCTGTGAAGTTGCCTCTGCTGCCCCTCTTCTGCACACAGCCCGCCATGCTCTGGAGCACAAGACCTCACACCTGCTTCCTCACCAGGCCAGAGCCATGGCCCATGCGTGCTTCGTCCACGGTGCCTCTCAGCCACTCTTTGCTGCCACCCCCGCTGTGCCAGGTTGCCTGGCCGCCTGCCTCCCCTTCGCCTTTCTGACTGCCTGCATGCCTGTTGGGTGTGCCTTACTAATGTACAGCCTCCTCGTGTCTTCTAGCATGTTCCAGTGCTTTCCACAACCGCAGGACAAGACCGACTTGTGCCCCGGCACTCACGGTTCCCACCATGCCGCCACTGCCTGGCTTCTGCATTCAGCTCTTTCACAGGTGCCACTAGGTCTGGTGGCTAGGCTGGGGACAGACACTGCACACTCATTCCTCCAGCCTTGTCTGTCAGAGCCTACAGCTTCCTAGTGACCTGGGCTGAGACCCCTCCAGGCCCTGCCCTACCATGCTGAGTGCAATCTCTCCTGAGCTAGACCCCTCGGTCCAGGGGCTCATGGAAAAGCATCAGAACTTGGGATAAGCTCCCTGCCCCAGGGACAAGTGAGGAGGGTCAGACTGATGGGTGAGATGACAAGGAAAGCTAACGGCATGGTCCAGACCCTAGAACTATTAAGTCGTAACTTGCTCAGTGATGGGCGCTGACTTAAGTGACAAGCCACCTCTTACCTCAGGATGCCCTGCCCAGGGGGACCTGCTTTTTGAGATGGGGAGGTCAAGACGAGGGAGGTAAGGATGAGGGACTCAATGTGGGGCCCAGAAAGCCAGAACTCGTCACTGACTCCAATGCTATCCATAGAGACGAGGCTCTAACTTACCTCACTGAGCAGGTCTGTTTCCCCTGCAGGGACTTGGGGCAGAAGGGCATCACAGTGGGGTGGCAGGGAGCCTAAGGTCCACCAACTCATGCCCTGGCCCTGGTGCAACCTCCAACTATGACTTGGCAGACCACATGGAGGGAATGCCATGACCAGCAGCCCAGTGGGCTGGTGGCTGGATTTTGCCTTATAATGAACACAATGGCTTTTGGGTCTGAACCTCATTCTCCTCTAAGTTGGGTTAGTATGAGTCAGTTGTAGTGTGCCTGGTCTACTGAGTCCAGTGATAAACAACTGAGTTTCTGGGCCCAAAGACCTGAAGGTAAGACCCTGTTAAAGGTGATCCCACTGGAGTTCTAGTCCTCTGTGAGAAACCAAGCCCCAGGGGCCAGCCCCCGTAGTGGCAGCTCTGTCAGGCTGCTCTCTACCTATCACAAACTCATAATGCTTTTGTGAGGAAATAATTAGCTTTGCCCAAAGAGAGATCTGGTCTGTCTCGGCTCCAGAGGAAAAAACCTCTGAACCCTTGTTATTCAGGGTTGGGACTGGCCACACAGAAAGACCAGCCATGAAGTGAGAGGGCTGGGGCTTTGGGCCATGTGACATCAGCTGACCTCTGAGGAGGGACTGGAGATTGCGTTCGAACACGTGGACATGATTCAATCAGCAGTGACAGTTATGAAACCTCAATAAAAATTTCTGACACGGGGCTTGGGCAAGCTTTCTGGGCTGGAAGCTCTGTGTACCACCACACAGCAACACTGGGAGGGTAACATGTCCCTGAGGACATGAAAGCTTATATTTAGGGCCCTGCCAGTTGATTCTCCAGCCATCTCTTCCCCTGGCTGGTTCTGATTTGTATCCTTCTGCTGCAACAAACCACAATTGTTAAGTATGGTGCTTTCCTGTGCTCTGTGAGTCGTTGTGGCTAATTCTTGAACTTGAGGATGGTTTTGGTGTCAGGGTGAGGGAAGACATGGCAGTCAGGGGACTGTGCCCTCACCTGGAGCCTGACTAACTCCAGGTAGCCCTCAAGCCACCAACTTTAATGACATGGCCAATTAGAACTGTCTTCTTTATCTAATCAGATTATCTTTTCAAGGGCATGAGCAATCCCTTGCTTGTTTGAGTCCCTCATAAGATTGTGGGGAAAAAAGACTTACATGAATTTTCAAATTTATGATTGAATGCATGAACAAATGAAAGAATAAGTGAATAAAAACCTAGTACTATGAGATTTAAAAAAATCAACTTTCATTCTTATTCTCCATATCCCACACATCCTTCCACTGTCCCAAACTCCAGCATGAAAAAAAAAGAAAGAACCTTCAGTAACAAAAAGCTTCTAAATAGTCTTCAAAGATGCTAATGTCTAATTTTTTGCTGAGATCACCAATTAGGGTTGGGGGTCAGGTGCCACAGGATAGACGAAGGAACACGACAAGGCACCAACACCGATGGGAAGTGCATGCTGACCAAGCATGTGATGTCAGGCTGCCCATGAGTGCCCCTGGGCGAGACGTCAGGTTGTTAGAGACACATCTCAGCTGGGCAAGCCCGTGTTCCCAACCTCTGTACCAAGCCTGTCTCCAAACTCCACCTCTGTGCTCACATGTATCCGAAAGCCGTAATTTCTCTGGACAGGGTACTCTGTGACATCGTAACACATAGACAAGTCAATTTCTCCATCCAAATCAGCTGCCTGCAGAGAGAAATGAGAAGACCGTTAAGACATTTAGAAATATTTTTTTAGGACCCTCCATACTGTTTTCCATAGTGGCTGCACCAATCTGCATTCCCACCAACAGTGTATGAGGCTTCTTTTTTCTCCACAGCCTCTCCAACACTTGTTATTACTTGTCTTGTTGATAACAGCTATTCTAACAGGTGTGAGGTGATGATAGCTCATTGTGGTTTTGATTTGCATTTCTCTAATAGCTAGTGAAGTTGAGCATCTTTTCATGTATCTGTTGGCCATTTGTATGTCTTCTTGGGAGAAGTGTCTGTTCAGGTCCTCTGTCCATTTTTTAATTGGATTGTTTAGTTTTTTGTTGAACACACAAGGCAGTATATAAATGACATATTATAGAATTTATACTTGAAACCTATATAACTTTATTAACCAATGTCACCCCAATAAATTTAATTAAGAAGAGATTTAGAGATAAAAGTCAAATCTAGGTGAACAAATTGCCATGATTTTGTGTTGGCCTTATTCTTAATGGGCATATACCCTGACAAGGGAGCGTGCTGCCTGTCCCACATTCCCTGGAAGTGTCAATGCCACCATTTTCCTATGTGTCTTCTGCCAAAGATATCCATGCTGGTGGTTCTCAAATGTGCTAATGCCACAACTTCTTTACACTTAAAAACTGAGGATCCCAAAGAGTTTTTATGTGAGCTTTATCTACTGATATTTACTATATTAGAAATTAAATTGAAAAAAATTAAACATTTATTCACTTAAGAATACAAATAAGCCCATTTCTTTTTTTTTTTTTTTTTTTTTTTTAGCTGAGCCATCCTGCTACCTGTTGGCAGCTCAGCGGCTGCTCAGCTCGGGCTGGACTCAAACCGCTGTTGCTCAGAGCTCAAACTCTTGAGCGAGCTCTTAACCAACTGAGCCACTTGGCCGGCCCCCATTTCATTTTTTAATAAAAATATTATTTAAAGAATCATTGGTAAGAGTGGTATTGTTCCCAATTATTACAAATCTCTTTAATATCTGGCTTCTCATATCTGTTTCTGCGTTCGGTCTGATGGATATACTGTTTTGGTTGAATCATATGAAGATAGTCTGGTCTTACAGAGATATGGAGTTGGAAAAAAAAAGGGAGGCATATTTTAATAGTCTTTTCAGATAATTGTGGCTATTTTTCTTTGATAAGTGGTAGTTCCTTAAAGGTTAATTGCAAAGTAGAATCTGAAATCCTATCAAGGAACTTCTGTACTCAGTTACATTAAAATCCATGGTTTTACACTGCCCTTCGAATGAAATTTTTACCCATGCACAATTGTATAACATTATGTATCGGTCATTTAGAAGACAGTGAGTTATACACATCTTTCAAATGTTGACACAACTTATACAAGATGAAACATCACATTTCTTAGTAGCATCACGTATTTGGTCAGGAGGGTCTATAAATAAAGGGAAGCTGTCAAGTTCATGATGGTAAATACAAGTCTTCCAAAGTTCCAATTTTTGCTTAAAAGCTCATCTTGTATCACTGGCAACAAATCCTGTCAGTTCTTTTCCTAGAAGGAATAGGCTCACTTGGTTCATTCTCAAGAAAATGTCTGGGCTAACACCCGAAGTGAATGAGGAGTTTGTGTCAATAGTTCTTTCAAGTAAAGATGGTGTTCCACCAATGAGAAGCTGCTAGTTAAGGGGCAGTGCCAACAGAGCACAGACGTGCTTACCCACAAGACAGCGTACTTCCCTTTTCAAATCACAGAATATTACAAAGATGGATACTCAAGGACTGAGACGCAGTAAAATCAGTAACTTGACTGTTACATCAAGGGCCATTCTTTAACATCGCTGAGTGTGTGGTAGTGAAGCACACGTGACTGCTGGCCATCTGTGGCAGCCTGTGACAGGGCTAAGGCACCAACAGTTTCACCCACCACTGCCTCTGCCATTAGTGCAAACGTGAATACAGTGAAAAAAGCAAACAGCATCTTAGTTTTAGAACAATAAGTTGTGAGTATCCCAGCCCCCCTGAAACTGTCTCCAAGGGTCTGTAGCCCACCTCAGAGAAGGGCTGCTCTGTGCATATACACCCCATGCTCACACATGTCTACTTGGCTGCCTTGCATGTACTCCCTGACCAGGCACCCAGAGGCCTGTACCCCACTAGTCCACACCTATCTACCTTTCCTCTGCAGTCCACAAAGAACTTAGTTTTAGTTTAGGTTTGGAGTATGTAAACATATATAAGCAGGCCCCTAATGACAGATATTTAGGCTCAATTTCCTGCTATTACAGAGGTGCAGGTCATTCTGCACAGATGACTAACCTGGGACACAGATCTTTTTCTACATCTGTATCTGAAGGATTCCTGGAGTGGAGTTGCAAGGGAAAGGTTAGGAACACGGACATGCTAAATTGCTCACAAGAGATGACTTTTTGTAGGTGAGGAAAAAAAGCCCCTTCTGGTTGGTCTTCGACCACGGAATCAAGACTGTCAGCTAGGCCAACCATGTTCCTCTGCCACATCCCTCCCCACCCTCCTTGTCCAGAAGATAAGGGACAAGATTTAGCTCAGTTCTGTAAAAGTCTCAATTCACCACAAAATCCCTTTGCAGAAAAACAAAACTGCTCATCCTGAGTTTTAAAATAAGACATCTTTCAGTGTTTTTCAAAGACCAGACAAAAGAAAAGTCACTTAAACCCACTGCACCCAGGTGCCTAAAGCAGGGCCTCAAAAGACACCAACATTCTCGGCAGGAGCCAGTCATGAGAACATCAAAAGCAGTTGCCCTGCACTCAGACTCCCCCCCCCCCCACATCTGGACTGGGAAACGGACGACGGCAACACAAACACCCGTGCACAGATGGAGGGCTCCCAGATGCCACCTGAAGCCCTCAGCTGTCTCCACAATGGGGGCAAAGCCAAGACACTCACCTCCTCAGCCACCGAATCCCTGTAGTATCTCAGGCTTTGATCAGCAAGGACAAACCAGTGTTTCTTCCACTAAAACAAAAGGGAAAAGACAGATCCAACTACCATGCAGCATCCTTACTGCTCCAAGGTGATCCATGCCAGACTCTGGGGGGCACCTCCCAGAGCACAGGTAAAGCAGAGGGTGGCAGCCTCTCCCACAGTGGCAGGCACACACAGAGGACTCTGCTCAGGCCGCAGGAGCCATACACATGATCTGAGGGTGCTTGTTAAGCCTCGGTTCCCCAATGACAAGGCAGCAGGGAGAGCAGGGGTATGCCACAGGCTGCGGGCTCTCTAACCCACAGCGGTATGGCTGGTGAACAGAATAGCTGGAGGCTGCAGATCGGGGGCTGGGCCCTCAGAGCTGAAAGGTGGCTGTGAAAACTCATCTCCATCCTAAGGAGGCCACCTGTGAGCCACAGCCACTGGCTGGTTAACCAGAAGTATGTAAATATATGGAACCAAACACACCCACCTACAGCGAGCAGAGCAAACCAACCAGCCGGATTCCCAAGTCTTCACTGTGAATAGCAAGGAAGGAGACCTGAGTCTTAAGGCCAGGCTGGGAGGACTGACACAGAGGTGGGAGAATGCTCAGGAAGCAGACAGGGAGCATGGGCGGGCGAGGTTTAGGGGCCTCACCATAGCAACTAGCAGCTCCTCTTCATGCCTCCTTGGAGGTCTGGACTTCTAGCCCCAACCAGGGTCAAGGTACGGCTGGAAGGTCCAGCTGCCAATGACTCTTCTTGCTCAAGTCTGATGGCAAGAATGTCCCACACTGGCCCTCCCAGGACTGCAGATGAGCTGGTGTTTCTGACAGTCTTACCGCCCTCAGCTGTCTACTTGGCTGCCTTGCATGCAAACACAAGCCAACTCTAGAACCAAAGGCTTTCCCTGTCACTGGGAAGCCTGAGTTTTCAGGGAACTTTCAGTAAAGATCCACAGGTGGGGAGCTAGTGTTGGAGTTCATCCCTGCAGCCAGAAGCCAAGATAGCGGCTGGACATAGGAGAGCAATCGATCACACTGGCAGCAGGCTGGCTTGACTGGGGCCTCTCCAGAGGCCCCACTCCCTACTGCACAAACGGGGGTGGGGGCTGCGAACCTCCACTTCTTTAAGGTGATGGGGTCTTGGACACAGTCCTTGTCCATAAGACCGGGGGTGTGCGGGAGGGGGAACAGCCAGAGCTCACAGACCAGTGGAGACAAGGCCAGCTTGGCCTCGCACCTGCTCCCCAGCCCCTCAGAAGCCACACAGCAGCTCTGCACACTGACCTGGCCATCTTCGTACTGCTTGGTCAGCCAGCCTTTCTTGAAATTCAGCAGGTCAGGCTGAGAAAGGAGAAAAAGGAACAGTTTAGAGGAAAGCACTATGGTATCCTGGTTGTGGGCAAAGGGTGACTCGCACAGCAGGCATTTCTGTCCAGGGGAGGCGGGCACCAGGACACGGGGTTCCTCACCGGCCAGACAAGCCTGATGGTCCCTCACCCCAGTGGGTGCTGCCCGTAGCCCCTCCATAGGCACGCATATCCTGGAGGAGGCAGATGCTGGGCTGGACAGGCTTTCGGGAAGGGGACGGCTCGGCCCCACTGCCCTGTGAGCGCCCTGAGACAAGTCCTTGCTCTGTCTGCCCGGGAGGCAGGGAATAACGGCCTGGACAGAGAGTCACTGAGCATCTGATGTGAGAGCTAAGAGGAGAATTCAGAAGTTCTTGCAGAAGCCACGGGACGACTGAGAAAGAAAGAGCGGAAGACCAAGGAGTAGAAACCATGTCTGGTATCGAGCAAGACACAGAAGCAGCTCCGCCATGACCCTCAGGCCACTCATCTGTACCAGGATGAATTTCAGTCTCTGTGTTCCTATCAAGAGCAAAACCAGGACAGCAGACAGACAGAGCTAGCAGGCCCTCCTGCACCTGTGCCCTGCTTGCATTTTCCATCTGGATACCCGTAAGGCTGGTGCCCGAGAGACATGGATCGTCCTCTCCTCAGCCCTCCTGCTCTCTCTGTTTCTACAACCATCTTGACCACAAATGGGCTGTGACATCTTTTTGTATTCCAAGGACTGGGAGGTGTGAAGTGGCAGGACAATGCCCAGAGACACCTGTTCTGGGAGCCTCTGCTTCAAACGCTGGAGCAAAACCCAGAACTCAAGGAAAATCAAACTTCCCCTGGGTAAGAAACCTCCTGTCCTAGCTCTGTGGTTTCATGGCAGTCTGGCTGGCAGCTCCTCTCCCCTATTGGGGGGAGGTAGCACCAACCCTGGGCTCCCCAAGAGGCTAAGGACAAAGCAGAAAGGAGCCACAGGTGATGATGCGAGCAGCTGTCTTTCACCCCCAAGGCCTCTGGCTCATCACTGCTGGTGGGAGCAATAGCACTTGGCCTCCCCTGACCACACCGCACATGCACCCCACTGCTACAGCTTAAATGGCCTGGAGAAAGGCCTGTTCTCCCTCTGTGGGGAAAACCCCATGAACAGGGCCAGTGCTCCCAGCCAAAGGGGGCTCCTGCCTCCAAAACGTCACAGAAACAAACATCCAGAATCAACAGAGGTTCTCTGCTACGTCTCAGTGCCCTGGAGTCAGGACTCTGCTGCCTTGGCCGGGTGGCCTCTTCCACTGGGGACCTTAGAGCCCAGGATGCCCACGTAGCCCAGAAAAGGGTCAGAAACAGAGCAGCTGCTTCCCACACACAGACACGAGGGCCCGTGCACAGGGGGGACAGCCAGCGCAGGTGCACGGACAGAAGCAGACATCGACCTCAAGTGACAGAAGCAGTGGGAGAGTGCCTCCAGGCCTTGGTGCATAGGCGCCTGGGCTCACCGTCAAGGAGGGCTCCGTGGACCTCCTGTCCAGTGACTTCGCTCTTCGGTGTGGAGACAGGGGGGAGGCCGAGGCGTCCGGGAGTGGAGCTGTGGGGGCTTCACTGGGGAGGTCCTGTGGCAGAGAGCAGCCGCCAGTCAGTACAAGCATCACCTCGGGCAGGGAGCAGGGAGTCCGGCAGCCAGAGCTGTGGGGAGGTCAGGACTGCAGGGGCCAAGTTCCCAAGCGACGGAGGTGCTCCGTCTTTGCTAGGGCAGGGACAGGAGCCTGCATCTTGGACTCCCCATCCAGTGCTTTCCGCTTCGCTTCCGGAAGTGGGTTCTGACATGCCCTGGCTGTTAGAGCAGCCTTGTCTTTCAGATGCACCAGTCACTGTCATTCTCTGGTCCCGTCCCGCCCCTTGCTTCGTGGGGTCACAGGAGGAAGGGCTATGAGCTCTGTGGCTGCGAGTGGAGCAGCAGGGCACCTCAGGAGCCCAGAGAAACTGGGGAGGAAGATGAAGGTTGCACACAGCAGGGCCACAAGAGGCGGGCAGGCTGCCCAAGAGGAGGAGGACTGAGTAGAGAAATGAGGGCTATGGCCACCACTTGAAAGAAAAAGGAAGGTGTTCAGCCTTGTGGCTGGGCCTCCTGAGAGGAAGACTGAGGCTCTAGTTACCATCCAGGATCTAAAGCTCGTTAGAACAGCCTTCAGCAGAGATGCATGAAACTCTGAGAGGAAGACAGAGAAGACAAGCTTTGTCCTTAAGAAGTTCACTAACTGGAGACGGAGATGAGAGACCCAAGCAAACAACTACGAAAAGAGAGTGGGAAGCCCAGGAAAAGTGTGTCCATGTGTGTGCCAGGGGCCGCGAAGAGGGGTGCGGGGTCATGTGCTGACGGGCCCAGATGGCCCCACAAGGCGCCGCTCGTTTTTCAGTGCTCACCCGCTTCCTGGGGAATGCTCTCTTCTCGCTGCGGCCCTGGCGAGTGTCACTTGATGGTGAGGTCCCGGCTGACACGTTGGTCTCCATGTGCTCTGCCTTCTCAATGTCCAAGGCCTCAAATTTCTCAATTACCTGGGACCTCCTGCAAGAAAGGACAGGAAGCTGCTGGGGGATGACAGGGCTCCCCACAGCCCAAGGTGGGCCTGGTCTTGTTGCAGAAGGTTCCTTCAGCCAACACCCCTAGGCCTGGACCATCCCAGCCTCCCACAGGGCGTGCAGGCTGTGCACACAGCACATCTGGCCACTTTACCTATGACACCCCTCCGTGAGCTCCCTCTCCCACACTGTGGAGGGTGAGCTGCCCAGGCTGGTTGGCAGCAGCTCAGGGCAAGGGCCTTCTCTTTCGCCAGGCCTGTCCATGCCCTCCCACCCCGATACCGAAGGTCCCTGCATTGTTTATTGTGTTGACACACTCAGCAATCACACAGCTCGTCACTGGGCATCCTTTCCTGAGCCACCGCAGGACTGGAAGACAACCACCACCTCGGAGGGGGACAGCCCCATTCTCACTTAATTCCTAGCAGATCATGATGAAGCCCCCACCCAGGATGCCCAAAATTTAGCAAGAAAAAGGCCCATGAATTAACATTGTTTCTGCCAATAGTAAAAAGAATAAAAAACCAATTAAAACAAAAACAAAGCAAGTTGATTTCGTGTGAAAGGGCCGGCGGCATCATCAGGCCATCTATGGCTGGAGACGGAGCTGAGATGGGAGCGAAGCAGGCGGAGGAAGGGCGAGTAACGTCACACAGCGACACAGCAGGAGAAGGTGGAGAGGGGCAAGACCTGGAAGAAAATAAGGCTGGAAAATGAATAAACAGAAAAGGACTGCTTTTTAAAATCAAATAATGGTAAATCAAAATTATCCAAAGAAATAAAGAAACAAAACCCGAGGTGATCACTGAGGAGGGGAGACCGTCCTTATCCCTGAATCACGAGGAGTCGTCATGGTGGGCATGGGCAGGGAGGCCTGGTGGGGCACACCGGGGCCTGGGTCTCAGACAGCGACACGGCACGGCACAGGACAGAGGCCTGTCATCCCTCAGGGAGATCCAGGCAAGTGTCCTGAAGCTGCCTCACAGGGAGGGTTTTACTTGCATTTTGTATAAGTGGTGGAGAGTTGAGGAAAAACGAGTGAAGGGCCTCTGAGCCCAGAAAACTAACATCTAACTTTATAAGAAAGAAGAGAGGAAACGGGCTCAAAACCTGAGATACCTGCCCTCCTCAGGTGCCAACTTTTTGTTAGGGAAGGTTACCCGTAAAAATTGATCCCTTAAGGATTCTTCATCAAGGAAGGCTTACCACCAAGGGCAGACTTCTTGGGGCACTGCACTCTGCTCCTCCCTGTGCTTCCACAAGAAACGTGGAAACAGTGGGAGAGCACTGGCAGGCCTCCACAAGGGCGCCCTGGTGCACTAAGCTTCTGCAGTCTTCTTCAGGAACAGAGCTCTTTCCCAGGCCAGCCCGCCAGGACCAGCAGTGCGGGGCAGCAGGGGAGGGCGTGCGTCTGAGCACAGGAAACTGTGGCAGAGGCAGAGCTCTTGAAACCGCAGGAGCTCTTGCAAGTGCTCAGCCTGGTGGGGTGGATGAGGAATGCCCTGGGGCTGGCTGTCCTGCTGAGGTCTGGATAAGGTTCCAGGCCCATTCCCAGGCCTTGGTGCCACCACTCGCTGAATGACAGCCACCCTCCCCCAACCCTCCACCCCTGAGCTCGGGGCCTAGAAAGCCCCAGGAAGGCGGTGAGGAACAGCACCTGGCTGTTACATGCGGATCGCATGCTGCAGGACTGCCAGGGCTATGAAGGGGCATCAGCTAAGAGAAGAGGAAAGCGGCACTGCAGCAGCCTCTCCACACAGAGGGGCTTCGGTTAGGTCAGCCATGTTTACTTTGCAAACGGGGAAGTATTTAACTTGGTTCCCTGGAAGTACTGCAGGTGTGACCACAGATGCCCCCCTGGGCTTGCTGACAGCATAGAAAGGAGGCACTGCAACTCTGCTCTGAGACCTCTTCAGGTTCCCAGCTTGGGGGCCAGCAGAACCACGCGGGAGCTGGCCCTGGTGTCAGTCACCCAGATTCACAAGGGCCATGGCCTCCTCACGCTAGCTCAGCAGCAGCTCACTATCCAAGAAATGTTTTAAAGGTTCTGGAGCAAGTCTGAAGAGCGGAGCTGGTTGGACCACTGTTTCAAGGCCATGGCTTCCAGGAAACCAAGCCCTGTGGTCCCCCAGCCTGGCTCCTGGGCAGGCCTGGCTCACTGGGTAGCCGTGGCCAAAAGCCTGCCACTGTGGGGCTCTGCTCTAGTCAACCAGGAGACAGGTACCCAGTCAAGCACAGGGCGGCTACTCGGGACCAGAGAGCAGGCCTCAGGAAGGGACAGCAGCCAGCTAGATGTCATCAGGGTCAGTAAGAAAGTGACGTTACAGTGTTAAGATGCAGAGCCAGTGGGTCCCAGGGGTGCCAACACCAGGTGAAAACCCATTCCCACGGTGGCAAAGAGCATGCAGAAAGCAAAGCCCCAGAGATGCCGTCTACCCAAGGCCATTAGACAAGAAAGAGTTCAAAGCCAAGCAGGTGTGCTAAATGTTAATTCTCTGGTCTGCAGCTAAACCTGGGCATGGCTGCCCGCACAGGAGCCTTCACAACACGCAGCCTGCCTGCCGGTCAGCGCCAATCCCCCTACCCCAGCTGCTGGCCTTTAAATCTTTGGCAAGTCCCTTCACTGAGAGATTTCTCTAGTCACTTGAAGGACACCTCGGCCCCGTCCCAGGTCACGGGGCCTTCCCAGATAAGGGCCCAGCTGATGTGTCCTGGCTCCACTGCTCCCAGCTGTTCCCGTGAGGAGTCCCCTGGACCCGGATCCCCTATCTTTCCACATCTGCACACTGGGGGTGGCGATACCAGCACCTCACGGGGTTACTAACGGAACGGGAAGCTAGCCAACTGCTTGGTGGGACTCCTTCAAAGCAACAGGTCAGCTTCCCTCTTCCCTCTCAGAATTAGACACATTCTGTTTTCTTCTCTTCTCAAGACTAACAACCCTGGGCATCTTTTTTTTTTTTTTTTTTAGCTGAGCCATCCCGCCACCTGTTGGCAGCTCACGGCTGCTCAGCTCGGGCTGACTCGAACCGCTGTTGCTCAGAGCTCAAACTCTTGAGCGAGCTCTTAACCAACTGAGCCACTCAGCCGGCCCTTTGGGCATCTTTTCTTTATCCTGGAGGTGAACTCACAGGTCCACAGATCCTTTCCACCTGGGGCGTATGGGCGAGTGGGTGGGTGGTAAAAAGAGAAGGGAGGACAAGAGAAAAGCACCCAATTCCCAGCGCATCTTTTCTTTATCCTGGAGGTGAACTCACAGGTCCACAGATCCTTTCCACCTGGGGCGTATGGGCGAGTGGGTGGGTGGTAAAAAGAGAAGGGAGGACAAGAGAAAAGCACCCAATTCCCAGCCGGCCTCTAGAGGGGAGCCCACTGCCCCCCTGGCCTATCCCCACAGTGTGCCCCAACTCAGAGTTTTACTGGGCTTTGGTGGGGCAGTGCGGATGCTCTGGGAACACTTCTGGGACTTAGGTCCAAACCGCTTTCTCAAAAAGCAAACTTCTTTGGGAACCTAATGAAAACTATGGATTCCCCACCCCGCCCCAGAAAAATGTACATATAGACTCTTAAATGGTTTATGGGGGTCCGTGAGCCCCCAGTAGCCTATGGGTCATCTGGGTGGGGACCCTGTTGTCAGGCAAACAGAGAGACACAGGGCACTTGGATGCTCTGGTCCGGACCTGGGCTTGAAGGCCTCAGAGATGGAACCAAGCTCTTTCCTTAGCTCCCTGGGAAGCACAGGGCCAGTGGAACAAGAGAAGGGCAGAGCCCTCCTCTCCTCAGACCAGAGGCGGGTTTCACGCCTCTGCCCCTGGCCCTTGTCCTAGGCCCATCACCCAACCTCATCTCTCCCCAGGAACCGTGACTCTGCTTAGCCCTGCCATTTCACATCTTAGCCCCGCCTGGACAAAGAGAGATGCTGCCGGGCACCCAGCAGTTTCCCAGGCTGCTTCCTGTGGAGGAAGTCCTCAAGGGAGAGGCCTGGCCACCTTCCCTGCATCTGCTTCCATGTCCTTCACCCACAGCTGGGCAAGGAGAGCTTTTCCCACTACCTGCATCTCTGGGGTCTTCCTGCCTCCACTATCTCCCTAAAGGCCAGAATTGGGCCAGCTACACAAGGCCCAGGCAGCTGAGAACCTGCCCCAGGGCCCTTAAGGTCCCAGTGCTAGGAGGCACCCATAGAGAGCAGCTGGCTGGTCTCGGCTCTGGGTACCCAGAGATGCTACATTCTGACCACGAGGGGTCAGGTTCTGGAAGCAGAGTCCAGGATCAAGAGGGAAAGGTTCCCCATATGCTCTGAACACAAAGGGAGAATGAGCGTGCTCCCCAAGGCTTAGGGAACAAGTGTGCATATATGGGAGGGCAGGAGGGGGAAGGGAACGTGTACCTAAGACAGTAAGAGTGTGTAAGAGTACATAACAGCTCCGTGAGTGTGAGGATCTGTGGGCGAGAATGTGAGTGGATGCCAGAGACTGTGCAGGTTGGGGGAGAGCCTGTGTGCACACACGTTCAGCCCTCTAATCCCCTCCTTACCTCCGCTCGTTGCCAAACAGGCGGGCCACCTCTTCCCTGCCAGGGCTCCGGGCCCGAGTCTTACACTCCAGCCGCCTTCTCTCCACCTGGAAGGCTTCTCGATGGCAGATCCGGATGGCCTTAGGGACGTCGGCCAGGGCGGCATACTGCCTGCTGGCTTTGAAGGCACAGGTGCGCCCCAGTCTTTCTGCTCCCCGCCCCCCAGTGCTGCCGCAGTCCATGTGGGCGGGGGGCCGGCTGGCCAGGTCCAGGGACTGGGGGGAGCTGCAGCAGACCGTTCGGCAGGGGGCTCGCAGACCTGGGGAAGGAAGGGGATGGCCAAGCTCCTGGGAGGGCGGTCTGGGGCCACTATACCTGTTGTTGGGGGTGCTGGGGCTGGGAGGGGACACCGGCGGGGGCAGCTGCTGCTCCTCGGCCTTCAAGTCCTGCTTGGTCTTCTCCAGGGAGAAGTAGCCGCTCTCCACCCGGACTTTTCGGCCACAGTCCATATGGTCGCCGCTCATGGTGCCTTCCTCTGAAAGAGAGAGGGGAGGCAGGAGATGCACTGAGCCAGCTGCCACCTTTGGTTTCTGAGGATGTTTTAAGCCCACATAGATCCAAACAGGGCCTTCTCTCTACCTTCATCTCTAAAGGCAATGTGATGACATGGGATGGGAATAAAATCTCCTTCCCACTGTATCTCATTCTTCTCTCCCTTAACCTGGCAGCCTCTTGGCCAGACTGCCAGGGGGCCCTACACTTCTAGTCTAAGGTCTCAGTTGGGAGAGCAGGACCCACGCCCCCAGAAGATGTCCCAACAACTACTTCTTACCAAACATCGAGACAGAACCAATAGCCGACTAGCCATTTAGTCTTTTAGTACACTTCTGGGGAGAGGACTTGAACAGAAACCAGAGGAGTGAATGATTTTAGTCATGAATGGGTGTGTGCTACCAAATGAGGATTTGCCGGCCCCCAGGCTGGGAACCTGAAGAGGTCAGCAGAGCAGAGTTGCAGTACCTCCTTTCTGTCAGCAACGACTGCCCAGAGCTTGTGCAAAGTGCATTTTGGACTGATGAGCTGGGTCAGTCCCAACTGTCCACTCGTCTTTAATGGTCTGGACAAAGTATAAATGGGAAAAGCTAGCCTGTATCTTGCATAGCTTGCAAGGGCCTGGACGAGGGAGGCAGAGGTCGCTGCCCTGCTTCTGCTCAGGCTAAGTGAAAGCATGCTGATGCCAACCGCTTCCTCTCTGGCACCTTCTCCCCCTGCTTCACTGGGGGCCTGGGAGGATGGAGAGGTGAGAAGGACAAGAGCACCCTACCTACTGCTGCTCTCAGTGGACTTCCAGGGTTAACTAGGCCATGAAGACAAAGCAGCCACAACGGACAGGAAGCAGAGGCCTACTCATTACAGAGCATTGTGAGTCTCACAGCACCTGCTCGGGATTCACAGAGCAGGTGCTATCCTCCTTTACAGGTAGGACTCAAGGGCTAGAGGGCCACGGCCAAGGCTGGAGCCAAGGGACCCCAGTCCCACATCGGGCCAGGCCCTGCCTAGGGCTGGGGCTCATGACGGGCTGTGCAGGCCCCTGAGTGAGCCCCAGTGCAAGCTCTGTATGGATGGGAGCCTGTCCATGTTGCGAGGAGGGGTGAGCACTGGGGCCAAGCTGGTTGCCGCTTACCGTCCTTGCCCTCCAGCCCAGGTTCCCTCAGGGCGCTGACAGGAGGCGGCTGGCTCTGGTTGGGACTCTGAGCTGGACTCAGGCTGCTCCCATCTGGCTGGTCCTTCACCCTCATTTCTTCCTGCCAGAGTGTAGACTTGGTGGTGGGGACTTTCTCAGCGCTGGGGATGCTGCTGCTGGTGGTGACGGCCATCTTGGCTGGCCCTGGCTCCTGGGGAGAGAGCGGTGTCTGCGTGGGCACAGAAGCACACAGCCCGAGCTGAGGTCTGGCTGTCCGGCTCTGGGAGGACACCAAAATCAAGTACACAGTGTCAGGGACCCAGAATTCCCAGAAGGGAAGGCTCAAAAGAGAGACGTCTTGGTCGGGGTAGAAGCTCCTTTTGGACGGCACTAGAGCCTTTTCCCTGCAGCTCCAGCCAGCACCCCAAAGGGACTGGTCCCATGGGCCTCAGGCCAGACTTGGCAAATGCATGCAGCAAAGGCTTGGGGTGTCTGCTTGGAGCCCCAACACCAAACATGCAAGTTCTCCCCGCCCACAAAACCAAACAGAGCCCAGGGCAGTGGACCAGCATTCAAGGTGAGACCACAAGTGGCTGGCTCCGTGTCTGTCATTCCTAGACTTCTAGGTGCTTAGGACATAAGTACCAGGAGCTGGGACGGGTGAGGAAAGAACACGCCATCAAGATGGGCCCACTGGGGTGAATGATAAGCGTGTTCACACAGCATCCATGCGGGGCCAGCCCTTGGCCTCACCTACCCTCCCATTTGTGGTCCTAGGATGCTAAAATGGAATACCTGTAACGCTGTGAAGAGTCATCAGATACAAACCAAGAATACCACTCAAATCTTCATTCACTCTCCTCCTGCCCACCCACCAGCACAAGCCATTGGGTCTTTGGAAAAGTCATGACATATTTTGTCTATTTTTTCAAAGGTCATTTATTTACATAAAGAACAAAGATAAATCAATGATATATTGCCCATTTTGTTCAATAACCTTTTGCCATCTTTCAGTGAGCTTCATAATTCCTCATTCATAGAAGGCCTGTCTTTATTTGCAAAAAACTGAACAAGGTGCCGATTTACAGCCTCATCTGAACTGAATGTTACACCACGCCAGGAGTTTTGAAGAGAGCGAAACAAGTGGGAAGTCTGACGGCAAAAGGCCAGGTGAGTATGGTGGGTGTGGCAACTCATCCCATCCAAGCTCCAATAATTTTTGACAGGTGATCAAACTTGTGTGTGGTACTGCGTTGTTGCGATGGAGCACAACTCCTTTACAATTAACAAGCTCTGGACGTTTCTGGATGATGGATTCCTTCAAACTGTCCAATTGCCAACAGTACACATTCGAATTGATTGCTTGGTTCCTTGGTAGGAGCTCGAAAAACACGACACCTTTAAAATCCCACCACACTGAGAGCATAACCTTCCTCTGATGAATTGTCTGCTTTCGATGTTGTTTGAGGTGAATCGTCATGTCGGGACCAAGACCATTTGCGCACTGCATTGTTGTAAACAATCCACTTCTCAACACCAGTTATCAGTCGCTTCAAAAAAGGATCATTTTCCTCATGTTTAATGAGCATATGCGCCATCAAATGAACTTCTTTGAGTTCACGCGGAACCCAAATATCAAGCTTGCTTACTACGTATCCCAGCTTCTTCAGGTGGTCGTGAATGCTTGAATGATGAATGTTCAATGTTTCTGCTATCTCTCATGCCGTGTAACATGGGTTTGACTCAATCAATGCCTTTATTTTGTCATCATCAACCTCGGTGGGCCTCCCTGACAGAGGAGCATCACTGAGATCAAAATCACCAGGATGGAATTTCGTGAACCATCGTTGGCATTCTTGTAAAGCATTGTCACCATAAACTTTATGCAACTTTTCACAAGCTTGACACGCGTTCTTCCCTTTATGGAAGTAAAACAGTAAAAAATGCACAGTTTGGTCTTCCATCTTCAACTTGTTGTAAAATCTCCAAAACTCAACCAAATCACTCAATTTTTTTTTTAGAATGAAGCTAGAACTGTCAGCTGCCAAATGACATAGCAATAACATAGATGCCAATGACTCTGGTACTTCCAAAAATGAACTAGTGCCATCTGTCGCAAACATGTCATGACCTTTTCAACAACCCAATAGATGGGAGCCTGTAGTCCAGATGGGAACAGTCTCAATTCCATCTCTCCCAGGTCAGAGGTGGTGCTGCTTCAAGGGAGCAGTCAGACAAAGGGAGTCAGACACAAGGAGTCCAATTCTAGAGCATGGCGACAACCTTTACTCAACACTGCGAACTAGAGCCCAGACCAGGGTGTGGCTGGGAACCCCAGCTGCCCTGCAGCGCCAGCTCACACCCTGGGCATAAGCCCCCTGTCCAGCCCAAGGTCCTGGATGCCAGCTGCTGAGGGAGCTAGATGGCTCTGGGCCCTTTCAAGAGTGAGGTACATCTTAACTGTCTTCCCCAAACCATGGGGGAATAATGTACAAATGCCCAGCCGCCTACTCCCATCCTGGTGGCCAAGACTCACTTTTAGAAATCTACCTTCACCCCTGGAGCCCTTACAAGGGTTGTAGATGACACAGGTTAAGTGTGCGCGCGCATGCAGACCCAGTATAACCACTGGTAGGTTCTTTATCAATAGCCACGTGCTGGGCTCTGGCTCGGCACTGCACCATCCCATCCTCGCCAATCCACTTCGCAGGGGAGAGAGAGGTGTCACACCCACGCTTGCACAGCCAGTAAGGAAAAGGGTGGGGCTCCAAGTGTTTTCCAACCCCGGGTGCCCCTATGAGTAGGAGAAAGGCCCAGGATGGGGGTGAAGCTTTGCCTTGGAGGGACGTCCTGGAGGACCCACCGGGAAACCAAGGCACCACGTGTCACAGTACAAGACGGGTCCAGGTCTCACGGGAAGGATAAAACCAGGATGGCCCTTCCTACAGACTCAAGACACACATGACCTTCCACTGTATCAGAGCTGCCAGCTGACCCAACTCCCAGGTTGGACATCCCCGAGAGCTTTGACCCTCCTGGATAAAGTGGACTTCTTGGAAAAAAACAGTGGCGGTTTCTGACAGTTTCCTGAGGGCTCCAACAGTGGCCCAAGGAGACCCACCTCCAGGGCCACTTATCCCTCCAGTCAGCACACTGCCCTCATGCCATGCGCCGGTAGCAACGCTTCTCTAAAGCAGAAAGCACTCTAACTGCCCCTGCCATGCCCCCTCCCAACAGCTAGAGACTTCTGCTCAAAGGCCAGAAACAGGGCACAGCTCTGGTGGGCACAGGGTGGAGCTAGATTCCTCCTGCAGAGCTGGGGTGGGGGTGGGGGTAGGAGGTGAAGACCACCCTTGGTAAATCAGTCCCCTCTGTGGAGAGACCGGACCAGGATAGGCAGAGGTTGCCAAAAAGGGTCAGAGGAAAGAACAGGCAGCTGTGCCCATGAGGGAGGTGGCTCTGGCCACCGGCGCCCTCAGCCTTGCCCTATGGGTGAAGTGCCCATGACACATGCACACTCCTCTCTGATGCTTGGGGAGGGGGTGGGGTAACAGGGATCTCTAAGAGACAGAGAAAATTCCAGGCCCAAGATCCAAGGGGCCGTGACTGGGAGCTTGGGGAACACAGCATTTCCCAGCACCAAGCAGCTATAGACCCGTCTCCTGGCCCTGGGCCTCCCAACCTGTGCCGGGCTGCTCAAAACCACAGATCCCTGCCCATGCACCTCACTTCTGGAGGGCTATCCCAGAGCATGAGGGCCCTGAATGGTGGCCAAGGTCCACAGGGAGCTCTCTGCTCTCTTTTGGTAGTCCTGCTGTCTCTTGACTCTATGCCGAGTCAAGCAGGAACAAAGCCACGCTGGCTTCCAGGGGAGGGGGGGCTAGGCGGGTGATTGGGGGAAGGCTGGTCTCTGGGTAAAGTCGCTTCTCTTCTCCAAAGCAGATGTGTGGAGAGTAAGACTGTGCATGAGCCAGGCCAGGGCTGTGTGGCACCACCTGCTCTTAACTGTCACTGCCATGGGGAAGAGGGCGCTGGGGCTCATGCTGACCCAGACCCGAGCTGTCTGTGCAAGAGGAAGGAGGAAAAGCACTGGATTTTCTACGTGCAGAAGATACTGAGACACTAAATGCTGGTCCCTGTGTGGCTGGGACAGTTGCAATGCTCAGGGCCATCAACACCATAATGGTCTGTGCTGTTTATATGGCTGGCTGCTCAAAAAGGGTTTTCACAGCAGTGAGTAAAGACGGGAAAGGGTGGGAAGCCTGGTCTAGGCCAAGGGGCCCCTATAGCCTCAGAGTGCTGAGTAGGCCCCCTCTCTGGAGGAGTTTCACAGAAAGTCATTCCTTCTACTTTCTGGGCACAGAAACCAAGCAGGGACCCACTGGGAGTAAGGGTTCTGACCTGAAGTGGAGTGTCGCAGCAGGCACCAAAGAAGAAAACAGGATGCCTAAGAGGCAGAGGTGGCCACTCACAACACATGTGTGGCCCCAGATGAGCCGGAGCATGGGGCGTCCCTCACGGAGGCCTGCTGTTTTACTTTCTCTGAAGAAAGGAAGGAGCAAGGACCAAGAGTCTGGGGGGCTGGGGAGATGGGAGGAGCCAGCCTCCCAGAGCTCCACCTGATGAGGCGAGTCCCCAGGCCTGCACACCTAGCTCGGGAGACACACGGCCCCTGGCCTCCCAGCTCTGGGATTTGCAGGGAGGACAGTAAGATCTCTATCCTTCCTGCCCTGGTCATACCTAGAGTGGATTACTGTTCTTCTTGAGGCAGCTCAGCACCAGGAAAGTAGGACAAGTCTTTCCTCTCAGAGTAAACAGGCTGAGTAAGCAGCAGTTCCCGGGAGCCCATGCTTTCAGGGCCCAGGCTTCAGAGGCTCTGGTCAGGGCAAGCCTCTCTCCTCCTCCTACCCTGGACTCTGCTGCCCCCGCCCCTGGTCCAGGCCGAGGGGCTGTCTACTCCCCCTGCAGTCTGATCCTCATCTTCCCTTAGGGCCCAGCTTGGGCTTCTCGCTGATGCTCACAGCAAACCACTGGGTGCCTGTACTCTCCATGGCCCAACCTCCCAACTGCCTGACACACCTTTCTTGAAGGGCAACCCTGGGCTCCCCAACCTGAGTTCCCAGAGGGGAGGGTGCAGCAGAGCTTCCAGCTCCCCAATGGTGTGATCTGAAACTCCTGGGCCATGGAGAAAGGGGTTGGGTATGGGCTCTGTCTCTCCGGGGGCCCCTAAGGCTTTAGGCTTCCCCACAACCCCATCTGGGGCACTACAACACCTTTGGCTCAGGGTGGAAGGGGAAGCCTGCCTAGAGACCCCCAACTTGCCTCTGGAGAGGCCCCACATCACTACATGACACTGACTCACAGGAGCACGGCCATTCCAAGTTCACAGCTTCGAGAAACCAGTGGCCTCAAATGGGATGCTCTAGAAAGCAGGATGTGGAAGAAACCCATCCAGCCAGGCTTCTGCGAGGGCTTGATAGGGGCTGAGTGGAGAAGACTGGGGGCCCTGGAGTCCCAGGCTCTAAGAGACCCTCAGAAAGTGAGTGACCTCACCATTCCGTGATCACCTGGCTCCGACTACCAACTGAAAAGGTCAAGCTTGGTAGTAATTAGGGGAAAGAGATATCACAGGGGAGGGGACAGCCAGGGAGTAGGGACATGACCAAATTCCCGGGGCTGGGCTGAGTGTGTCTTCTGCACATGTGCTTGCTTTATGTGGAGGCAGCAGCTCTGCTCCAGCACTGTTTCCAAGCCATAACTTTGGAAATACTGCGGAACTAAACACTGTTATTCTGCCTGGGGTTTCTTCTCTCGAACCAGGCAGCTTTGGGGCATCAGGGTGTCTATCAGCTATTCCCTAGCAGGAAGCTCCACTTTCAGTCTCCAGGAACGGCTCTGACTGTATTTTGCCGACTTCTTGCCAGGGACACTACCTTCCAGAGGGTGCTGGCCTGGGACTCCTGGGGAGAGTGAATGGGAGGCAGGCCCAGAGCTGCAGTCCTTCAGCAAGAGGCCACGGCATGCATGTCCGGGGAGCCCGCGGGGTGTGGAGGAGAAAGGGACCCAGGCCACTACCACCTCCTGGTCCTGCCCAGGCTGACCTCTACCAACTGGTGAAGCAGAGAGCAGCCAGCGAGGACTGCTGAGCCTCAGGGGCAGCCATGTTCTGTTATGGGCGGGCTCTCTGCCAGGCTCTGAGCCTTGCAAGATGCCCAAGGGGTAATCTCCATCCTGCTCCCTCTCAGGCAAGGCAAGAGCACTTGCTAACAGTCAAGTTTGGGGCAGAGAGGAAAAGAATAACATGTACTAGCACCTAAATGGGCCCCAGACTTCCTTTCATGCTCACAGTAATTGTCTAACTAGATTTCCACAGGCCCATTCTGCACATCAGTTCATTTCGGCTCAGAACGATTAACTTGCTGCAGCAGGGCCCCAAGAGTGTGGGGGGCATGTCAGGGAGCCTTCCGGCGTCCTGACCCCCTGCAGACTGGCAGGAGAGAGAAGGACGAGGAAAATGGCTTTTGGGGAGGACTGGACCTGGTAGGGACCAAGCCAGCCACCTCCCACTCTGGTCACATGGAAGTCGGGGCAGGGGCACAAAAATCCAGGCCAGTGGCAGGTTTTTCCATTTATGGTCAAAGCCCAGTGAAGGAGTAGGATCCCCTGAGAGCTCCTCCCTTGGCCGGGATACTCTAGGACCTCCCTGCCCAGCCCCTCTTCTCAGCTTTCTGTCTGCAGCATCCTATCTGTGTGTAAAGTGGAACTGAGCTAAGGTACATGAGGAAGGTGTGGACAGCAGGCAGCCCCTCCTGCCATGCTCTTTGCTCCCCAGCAGCTGGGAGGACAGCCAGGAGAAGGGAACCCATGCTGTGCTACTGGCTGGAAACCTCTTGGGGAACCCCTAGAGCACAGGAGCAGGCCACCCTGTCCCTGCAATGGGTCTTGCCCTGTGGCTCGGAGAGAAGTATGTAGATTGCAGCCATGGACCACTGGAGGGATGCGGGGGACATACAGGGCTGATGACTACCTCAGCCCTGACCTGACCCCCGCCCCACTCCAAATTTTAGGCTGAGTTCTGAAGGCCTTTAACCTCCCAGGGTGCTCTTACTTTTCCCCAGCTCCACCGAGGGGATCCACCTGGCAAACCCATCACCTACCTGTGGCGTGGGGGGCTCCACTTTCCGCTTCTTCTTCTGGTTCTGCTTGTTGGTCCTGGGATAGACCATGAGCATCTCCAGCCATCTGGGAGGAGAAGAGGAGAGAGCCGGTGAGACCCTGCTCTCAGGAATTATGACCTTAGCTTGTTGAGCAGTCTAAGCGCTAAGCCCTATGCTTCCTGCCTGGAGTCACTCAGCCAGCGGCCAGGCCTCCAGGCACCCGAGCAGGGCCAAGCACCAGTCCAGGTTAGAGCCTGCCACTGCCGGGGCAGAAAGTGCCAGGAGCACAGCCCAGGACAGGCACAGGCTGCTGGGATTAGGCTCGGGTGCCGACTCTGCAATGACCACAGTGCAGGTGGGGAGGGCCCAGCAGCTGTAGCTCAGGGGTGATGTGGGCTCCACCCTGGTACAGCAGCAGGCCTGACCACTGGCCTCGGAGTGAAGGGCATGCCACTGTTTCTATCACTGTCCCTATCTTCAGGGCTTAGACTCGGCTCTAAAACTGCCTTCCAGAGTAGATTTGGCTAGGGCACAGATGGGTTGTGACGGGGGGCCATTTAGGGCTCTTGAGGCAGGAAACCAAGGGTCATGCTACCAAAGCCCCTCACAGCAGATCACTTCAGGGGCTGAGCAGCTGATCTCCAGACCCACTCACTCGCCTATAAGCCCCACTTAGACAGGGAGGGCAGTGGGCACCTCGGCTTTGGGAAAGTTCTGCAAAGCTGCCCAGGGATCCGCACCAGGGCCTGCATGCTGGATGTCCGTCGGACAGGCAGCAGGAGAGCACAGAAAGAGCAGGCGACAGACCCAGATCTGGGTCTGCTACGCTCTAACCACAACCTTGCGTGGGCTTCAGTCTCATCATCTCTGAAACTAGGGGCTAGATTAGGCCTCATGGGGAGCTTTGAAACACCTGGGAAGGTTGGAGGAAGGGGGACAGGAAGAGCAGAGGTCTGGAGGGGACTTGGTGGTGAAGGGCAGCCCCAGTGCTCCCCAAAGGGGAAGGTACCACAGGAAAACACTGGTCCACTTCTTCCCAGAACACTAGGGTTGGACTGGGCATGCCGCCAGCCTGTGCCAAGGGCCAGGTGGCGGTGGCCAAGCTGTGAGGCAGAGCCTGCACTGGCAGCACCCTGGGTGGAGGCTGCAGTGACCACCAGCACCCCACGCCGGGACAGGGAGAAGACCTGGCATTTTTAGTACTTGGGGGTGCTTCTTTAATTTGGGGTGGAGGTAGGAAGCTGGTCACAATAAATGGCCTTCTGGGACAGCTTCAGGAGGGTGTGCTGGCTGTGCCGTTGACAGTTGGAAGCTGAGGAGGTGGGTTTGGGCGTGGGGACTCACAGCATTCAAGCAGAGGGGCTACCCTCAGCCCAGCCCAGCCCAGAGCAGGTAGTATCCCATTTGCTGAGAGACCTGAGGCACAGGCCCTGCAGGTTACTTCTCTGAGGGCCCCAAGGCAAGAAAGCAGGCCATGACTGTAGCTGCAAAGGCAGCAGATGAGCAGACTCCCCAGGGGCCTCACTGCTGTGAGTTGAGGAGTTCCCATGCTTGTGGGGTTAAAAGACTTGCTTCTAGCTGGCCACAGGGGCTGACATTTCTTTTGGGAACCAATGAGCCACGCCTGCCGAAGGCCCCTCTTAAAGCTGTACCTTGGAGGGGAAGAGAGACTGCTGGGCCAAGTCACCTGGAGTGCGGGGAACGTGACAGAGGTGCAGACCCTTCGGGGTACCCTGAGCTTCTGCACTCTATGGGGCTATGGGAGCCTGTGAGCCTGTGGGACAGGACCTGGCGGGAAGATGACAGGTCTGCACTGCCCAAATGGAGCTTCTGAAGCTCCTGGCAAGCTGAACGAGGCTGGAGACTCAAGGCTGAAGCATGGAGGGAGGGCGGCCCGAGTCACAAGGCACCTCAGTCCTGCCTGATTCAGCTGCTATGGCTGGAGGATGAGAGAGGCCTGGCCCCAGGGACAAATGATGGGATGTCCTCTACACTAGGATTTCTCACGGAACCCCGGAGGAAGTGCCTAACATTATCCAGGTGTGTTACGAATGTTAAGGTACACTCAGGGAAGGGAGGTGAGGGATGAATGTGGACCTGGGAGTGGTGGTGGATGTGGGCATGAGGGACGAGGTTGAATGGGCTCCCCAACTTTGAAGGCAGAGCCAGGATAAGTGAGAATGGGAGAAAGCCCTGACCCAGGCTAGCTGGAGGGCACAGAAGAGCACCCCCAACCTTGCCAACTCCAGCCTAAATCCTGCCTCCTCTAAAGGATACAAATGAGCTGTGTAAAGCTGTGCCCCAAACATCCTGGAGGTCCCCTCCCAGCATGAGGGAACTGGGAAAGAACTGCCAACTCTCCCCATCCAGCCTGGGAGGGACGGCCTGGGCTGTCTCAGGCCATTGAGGCCTCTTCATTTCAGAGAAGACCCAGGGAAGAAGGCTCCATGTGCTGTGCAGCTCAAAGTCAGACAGGAGAAAGTGCTGGCACCAATCGCAGGGCCCCAGAGCCCACAGGTGACATTACCCAGCAAAGAAGCTATGACAAGTGGTGAGACCCAGGAGGCCAGAAAGGAAGCCAAGGGAAGGGGGTCCATTTGAGAAGGAGAGGGGCAGAAGAAGGGGAGAAGATGGAGGCAAAAGTCAGTCCTCAGGCACACTGCCCACCTGATACCCTAAAGGAGGTCTGAGCGTCCTGGCGGGTGGGAAAGATGAAAAAGCTGCTGCCCAGGGTCGCCAGAGGGACCACATAGGCCTGGGGGCAGCTGCCTCTAAGAGAGCCCTGCCTGCTGGACAGGAAGCAGAGGTCCAGACCCAGGACCAGGAAGGAGACAGTCAGGTGACTTACGCAGGCTCTAGGTATGCCACGGAGCCACCTCACAAGCCTCCTGCCCTCAGGACGCCCAGTCTACCTATGGGACCCTGAGGGCTCATACACCTGGAGTCTTGGCCCTCTAATGACCTTGTGCAATATTGTGATTTATAAGAAATATACATTTAGTCATTCAGATGACCAAAATGTATTTCTCATGTACAGAGGGTGCCCAAAAAATGTATACACATTTTTAAAAAGGAGAAAACTGTATTAAAATTGTAATACTCAATATATACTGATAACAAAAGATGAATACAAGTGATGTGTATACATTTTTCTTTTTTTGGTTTATATCCATAATGCCTGGCTTACAGATCCTGAAACCCTCGGAATTTCCTAAGTGTGAGAACCATAAAGGTGTCTTTGTTATGTGAATGAGCGACTTTTGGAAGCACCTAAAGATGAGGGCTGGTTGTCAGTGGTTAGAAAAAGGTTGGAAGTTTCAGTTCCACCCCCTGACCTCCTGGGAAGGGACAGGGGCTGGAATCAGTAACTAGGACTGGCATATGTAATGAAGCCTTCATAAAATCCCAAAAGGATGGGGTTCGGAGAGCTTCCAGGTTTGGGAACCAGGGAACCAGGACGCTCCAAGTGCCATCATGCTGGGCCCCCACCCCAAGAGGACAGAAGCTTCTTTGTTTGGGACCTCGCCCTATGTATGTCATCTCTTCACCTGGCTGTTGATTTGTATCCTTTAGTATCCTTTGTAAGAAATTGGTAATCCAGTGAGTAGGTGGATTTTCCTGAATTCTGTGATCCATTCTAGCAAATTAACTGAATCCAAGAAGGGGTGGTGGGAACCTCCAATCTATAGCTGGTGGGTCAGTGTGGGAGTGGGTAGAGCAGTCTCATTGGACTGAGCCCTTAACCTGTAAGATCTGATGCAACACTCCTGCCCCCACCCCTCCAGGGTAGAGAATGTCAGAGCTGAGTTGAATTCTAGGATGCCCTGCTGGTGTCTAGGAACTGTTTGTTGGTGTGGGGCCCCCCTCTCATGCTGCAATTGGATCCAGGAACCCAGTTTACCTTGTCCACCCAAGCTGCAGGGGAATGGCAGGCCCCATGCACACAGAGAGCAGTGACCACAGGAGAGTGGCTCAGAGCGAGCTGGTTGGTGCCAGTGTCTGACAGCAGGACTTAGGCCGCCTGCCAGAGGCACCGCCAAATGCCAGCCATCACCATCATTCTCTAACACCAGTGTGGCAACCATACCTCATTGACCCAGTCCTCTAGCTTACATACCCACAGCCTGCCCTGTGGGCGCTGGACAACCCTTTCCCATTCCACCTGTCCCAGACCCATACCTGGAACCCAGCTCCTGTTAGGAGGGCTGGATCTCCCCAGGGAACCCAGCAGGGGCAGTGGAGCCTTGGTCCAGGTGTGCCTGCCAGAGCAGACAGGACCAAGGCAGCAAGTGTGAACCTGGAAGTGCAAACGGTTCCATGCTGTCACTCACAGCAGGAGACTGCCTTTGGTTGGGCTCCCCTCATTTCCAGAGCCTCAGTCTCTCAGCTGTAGAATGAGGGCTCAGTAAAAGCCCTTCACACTCTTCAACTGTATGCTTCTAGGAATAAGATCAGGGAGCAGCAAAGTGTCCTCCTGTTGTCCCCAGTTGTTAGAAATGCAAACCCGCCTCTCTCCAGGAAAGGATTCTGGGTGAGCTGGTATCCCCAGTAGAGGGCCGCCTGGCCCCTCTGTAGCATAGTTCTGGCCCTCTGCTCTGCTCCAGCCCTACCATGGTGTGGATTTGAACTTGGCAAAACCTGGGACCTTTCTGGCCAAATGCTCCCAATTCCTCACGCAGCGGCCCTGGCCAGGGCTGCAGCTGAAATATTGAAGCCCAGGCCACTGCTCACAGAAGTCTTTCCATTGTTGAAACCAAAGGGCTTTACTTTCTATCTCTCCTCTACGCTGCAGTAATCAGCCTTGTCTCCTTATACCCTGAGTTTACTCCTCCCTAAGCCTCTCAGCCTCGTCTGCCTCTTTCTCAGCCTTAAAGGACAACAGGGATTCTCTAAGACCCAGTGCCTGAGCTCCTGCTGCATCTTCTCATTGTGCATATACGACGTGTGGCTGGGCTGCACAGAGCTGGCAACAGATGCCCATAAGCTGGGCCTCCCAGAAAGCACATGCTGCATAGGCTCAGGAACACAAGCTCAGCACCCCAGGGCTGCCGGCCACCTGAAAACCTGGGCCCATCTGCCGTTTCCCAGGGCTTCTCCTAAGCCTTTGCATAGGGTGTGCTCACTCAGGGGAGTGGTATGACCCAGAAACCTTCCATTGTTTCCACTCAAAGAAGCTAGTGCATGTAGCAGCACTGAGTGACTGCTGTGTGTGGGCGAGACACGGCCTCCACTGTCAAGGGCCTACCACTGCCTGGGGAAGCAGACAATCTCCATCTTTATAAGAGTCAGCAGATGGAGCCAAGCACCCCAGGGGAGTGGACACTCAGGCTAACTCTAACAGCCTGGGAATCCAGGGATTATTCCAGACTGAGAGGAGGGCGGGAGCATGAGTGAATGCAAAGGGGGCAGGGAGGGAGACACTAGGGAGTGTGCAGTGACAAGCAGTTCGTGCTCAGTGCTGGGAATGAGGCTGGAGTGCTGGGAAGGGGCAGCCAAGGAACGTGGACTTGACCCCCAAGAGGTGGGGTCTTAGGTAGGAGGGAGGCAAGGTCAGAGTGCTTTGTGGACTGAGACCCAGTGGTTGAGTGACAGAAGACTGGGGTGTGGTGAGAACAGAGGGGAGACTAGTGGAGGCCTGAGGGAGAAGGGGCAGTGCCAGAAGAGGAAGACCTCTGAGGCAGCAGGATGTGAGCGGGTATCCTTGGTGAATGTGTGAGCTGGGGGGCGAAGCAAAGGCAGTGGAGGGTGAATGGAGAGAGGGGACTCAGAAGGGCACATGCATGGAAAGAGAAAGTGATGGTGATGCTCTCACTTTGTGCCAAAGGGACCTGATCCAAGGACCTGCTTGTGGGTGGGGAGGGACGCCTCCCAAATGCCTGGAGCAGACTCACCCGCTGATGATCTCCTTGGTCTCAGCCCGGATGAAATGCTCCTTCTCAGGGGTCAAAATGCACAGGGAGAACTTCTGGCCTGTCCGGCCCTCGCCATCCACCACATCTGTGCACTGATTCATGTTGATGGTGCCCTGAGGGAGGGTCGTGGGCTGCAGAAAGACACGAGGCGGGCAGTCAATCAGAGGCCAGCTCGAAGGGGGCGCAGTGAGGCAGCAGGGACCGTCCCCACATCCCCAGGCCCTTTCCGACCCCATGGCTTCCCGACAGGCACCAGACCTCTCGCAGCTGCATGGACCCCGCGTTACAGCTGAGGCATGGGGTGTGCTGTCTCCCCAGGCCCTCCAAGGACCACATCCCACCTGCCCCTGCTCCCAGAGGAGGGTGACAGGCCTGCTCTTCTCAGAACACACCCAGCTGGACATTCCTTCTTTGCTGGAAAACAATATCCCAGCTAGTCCGGGGGGAAGGCGGTGGGGAAGAGGGGGGAGAGAGACAGGAAGGGGACTGCTCTGTGAGGACAGCTGGGATGACAGGGGCAGCTGAGAGCCTGGTCTCAGGGGGCGGGTTACTGATCCAAAAGAGCAGTGAGAAAAAGCTCCAGGAGGTGGTTTCAAAACAGCAAGGTTCTTTCAGAGGCAAGGAGGGGGCCAGAGAGAAGCCACATCCTTGAGGCAGGCTGTGGGGCTGGGAGGCCAAGATGGCTCCACTCAGGTGAGAGGCCTCTCCTGTGAGGAGTGCTGCACGCTGCGTGGCCAGTGCTGGAACAACGAATAATAACCTTTCCCCCTTTCTGACAGCAATACTGTTAGACACTGAAATTAGGGCAAGGAAACTAAAAACCAGGCTTTAAGAAATTCCTACTGAGGTGAAGGGTTAGCCAAGAGGACCTTCCTAAACATGCTTTGTTAGCCCTGCACCCTCTGGCCTCTTCCTTCCCCCCATCATGAGGATGCTTTCGGAAAGGAGACAGGTTGCCATGGCTCAGAAACCGGGATGGCTCAGAAACTGGGGGTGGGGGAGCTCAAGGCAGTTACCAGTTTCTCTGCTGAGTTGCCCCAAGAGCCCAGCATATTCTTAATCCCGTTGCTGGAGAGGCAGCGGTGGGAGAGAAGGCGACGGTGGCCACCTGGGGTTTGCCCATTGGGTGCCTCTCTCCTAAAGCTCTGCTAGTGCATCCTACACCCACCCACCATGAGCTCCTTGTTGCCAGGACAGAGAGAAGGGGCCTGGTCTAAGATCAGGATGCTGGGTTTGGCGCAGGTGCTGAGCTCAGACCAACCACTTCCTGCTACTGGAAAACCTTCTTTTTTTTTTTTTTTTTAAAGATTTTTATTGGGGTATTGGGGGGAAGGGAACAGTGCTGGGGAATTGGGGGAAGGGGAACAGACAAATTGCTGTCGTTTTGTTCTTCAGTCTAGTTGTGGAGAACGTTGCTTCACTGGCCCAAGTTGGCACCATCATTGCGCGCTTCCCGGGCGAGGCACATCAGTCGCCGGCTTCTGGACGGCCGCTCACTGCGGCTGCTGGCCGCTCACGCTGGCTACATACGATAGCCCATGGCAACCCACTGCCACAGGGGCTGCAGCCTACGCCGTCGCCGGCGACTCACAGCAGCCCAGCTCCAGGTTGAGCTGTTGTTCAGCATCTTAGCTGAAGAGGGCAGTGTCACTGGCCCTCATATGTGGGATCCGAACCGGGGCCCTCTGGCATCCCAAGCCAGTTCTTAACCATCGCGCCACTCGGCCGGCCCTGGAAAACCTTCTTATGTCCCACAAAAGGAAGGTGGAAGCTCCCAGGATCCTCCAGCTTGAGCTCATGTGATCTTCCTAACTTTCCAGGCTGACCTATGAGCTCTTCTGACCCATCACCACCCCCCTCCTCATCCCTGGTGCCCAACTGCAGAAGCTAGACCTGAGGAGTGCTGGTTTCCAGGAGCCCTGGGTCCAACATGGCTGTCGGCTCTCTGGTCCACAGGAGGCAGACAAGAGTTAGCTCCCAGCTCCAAAAAGCCTTTCCTTATGAGGCCCCTGGGCTCAGCCCGTCATCCTTGGGCCCAGCGCAGAACGGAGGTGGCAGGGAAGGAGGGCTGGCCATTAACTCACAGGTAGACCTCCGACTTCAGGTGGGGAAAGGGCGTGCACCCTCAGCTATTTGTTCAAAGAAGGACTGCCTCAGAACTGACCCCTGGGTGGCGGCAGGGGGAGGGGCGAGTCCCTTTGCTAAGGAGGCCACATCCACACCAAGCCTAGTGTTCTCCATGAGTGAAGCAGCCTGGCACTGTCTATCCCGGGCATTCCTGGAGGGTCCTTGAGCTGGGAAAGGGAGCTTGGTAGGTTGTCCTGCAATGAAATGGGGGTGGTGGTGGGGTTTCCTCAGGAGCGGTGGGCAAGGAAGGTGGCTGCCTGACTTTTGGCTGGGGAGGCCCACACACACCTAGGGCCTGGGTCTCCTTCCCCAGCTGAGAGCTGTTCCACAGCCATAGAGACACACCCTCCAGCCCAGGCAGGGCCCACAAAGGCGTTCCAGCCCCCCCAGCCTCCTTGCTCCAGCTCCAGCCCCATCACTCTATCACTCTTCACATGTTCTAATCCTAGCCTCCTTCCACATCACACCATTGCAGTCCCCCCGCCCAGAAGTACACGCTCCTTGCTGCACCCACAAGGCACCCGGCTTCTCTGAGGCAGGTCCTCTTGTGAGAGAAAAGAGGACATGGTGCAGTGGACGGCTGTGAGGACAGGCCAGGAGCTATGAGGTGTGGGCACGCGTGATGGACTTGTTTCCATCAAAAGCAGATCACACAGTGGAGGGGATGGCAGAGGGGCTTTTCCAAGGCCCCTGGGCATGTGGTCTTACAATGCTGCCAGCGTACGCCACCTGTGACACACAGATGCACAGACTGGATAAGTTATCTATCTGTGCCATGGCACCAATGCGTTATAAACTATAACACACATATATAACACATAGAGGCAAGCTTAAGGGGGGACAATAAAGCACATCAACAGAAATTCTAGTATTTTCTTCTTACTGGGCCACCTCATGGGCCCCCAAAGGCACACACTCCTTTGGATACTACTGTTCCAGGGCTTCAAGTCACCAAACTGCTCACTGTCCCCTCTTGGACAGTAACTGTTTTCACTGGGCACACGGTCACCAGCTACAGACAAGATTTCCCAGCCAGTCCTGCAGAGGCACCAACTGCATGGCAGAACTTCTCTGGGTTCAGTTTCTTAGTATGCAAAATGGGGGCTCTACCTCCTTCCAGAAGTGCCAGTAAAAGGCAAAGACATAATTAGCTAGGGCTGTAGGACCTGAATGTTTATTTACTACCTAGGTAGTGTGTTAGGGTCTCACAGTTACTACCTTTCAGACCTCCTTAAATATGACCCGGAGCAGGCATCATATACTCCTACTACATATGCAGAAAAGCAGAGTAAGCAGCATCATAGAAGAAGGGAAAACGCCCAGGTACACACACTGACAACTCGTGAAAATAGTGCCTTCTGAGTCTCTCAGCAGTGCCCCCGTGATGCCATTCGCTGTCTCATGTGCTAACCTGAATGCCAGGCCCTGGTCCACATGTCCTCTCTTTGACTACTCCTATGGCCTTCTGAGGCCGGCAATCCCGTCACCCCATTTGCCCCTTCACTATTCTGTATTTGGCCATGTTTCTTGCACTCAGAGAGCTGGGACAGTAGCATCCAAGGGTGTCCAGGTAGGCCCAGGCCTAGGCTCAGCCCTCCCCACCTCTGTCCAGGAGCAGGCTACACCCACCTCATTCTCAGCACTGAGGTGAGAACTGCTTCTTAACCATCATTTCCCTGCTAGGCCAGCATCTTGTGCTGAGAGCAAGGGCAAATATCTAGGCTATAACACAGATTTAGTTGGAAGAAACCCCTCAGCCCTAGTGCTGTCAGCAGAGAAGCCAACTCTGTCCCATAAGCTCCCTGCCCTAATTCTGCGCCTCTTGAGGTTAGGAATCCAGGTCTCCTATAAGGCCGAGCATCACCTACTTTTGCTCATTTGCCTAAATAGGGATTAGCTGTCTGCAGGCCATGTGACACTGCTATGTTGCCAAGTTGTGGGTTCAGTCCTTGCGCAACAATGTCACCGACCGTCCTCCAGCCATCTGGGAAACTCTGGTCCTCTTCTGGTTTCCACACTGTAGCAGCTAAGACGCAGTGCTGCAATAGGGCTCAAGATGGTTTAAGCACGAGGTGACCAAGCAGGAGGGCACAAGACAAGGGCCTTTCTCCAGGGATATGACCACACCCTGCTGAGAACCCAGCCTTCCTACTTATATCTACTCCCTGGCCCACAGGAGGCCAAGGGAACCTCTGCCCAGTGCAGGCAGGGAGCTTGTCAGAGGTCCGCTTAGGCAGGCCCTGCTGTGGCAGCCCTGCCACCTAGGGAACCTCCGTGCCCACCCCCGGCCTACAGAGGTGTGCTGTAGGGAAAACAGGCCCCTTTCATTTCTTGCTGATCCTGGGATTTCGGGAAGGCGAGCTTTTCTAGAGCTGGAGGGAAGAAAAGGAGAGTGGGACAGAAATACAGCAAGGGGCCCTTCAGAGCTATCAATGGGGCCCTTTCTTTCAGGCAACCATGCTTACAGAACCAGAGGCGGTTCATGTATCAGACCTGGACGGAATGGGAAGCATTCATGTTGTCCCCCACTCCCTACCCTCATTCAGGTGGGTAAACAAGACCCACCTGAATAAAGACTGTACCCTTGGCAAAGAAGCGCTCACCAAATCTCCAGATCTGCCACTCCCCACCTCGGCAATCTCAGGCAAGTGCCAACTGTGAGCCTGTTTCCATGGGTATAAAATAGGGGTGAAAACACCCCTCACTTCAAATGTAAAATGGAGCCGCTGCTATGGAAAATAGTTCTCAAAGAGTTAAACACGGAGTGGCCGATGACCCAGCACCACACTCTCTGGTATACACCCCAAAGAATGGACAACAGGTATTTGAACAGTAGCCTGTACACAAACGGTCATAGCAGTGTTATTCATAATAGCAAAAGGCAGAAACAGCGCAAGTATCCACCAGCGGATGAACAAACTGCGGTCTAGCCACACAGTGGGATATTACTCAGCCATGAAGAGAAGGCAGTACTGACACAGGCTTTGACATGGATGAACCGTGA